ATTACATTTAGAAACGTTAAGGTATAATTTATTTATTTAAAGGTACATCTTACAAACACCGCCGGAGCAGTAATAACATGTGAGAGTGCTTGTTACTAGCATACAAATCCTACACTAAACAAAACCTAAAACTACGTAAACACTAAACTAATCTAAAAATAGACAAACAGCATCACACTTTTAATCAATCACATTTCCTTAGAGGAGAAGCCTTTAACAGATTTCAACTTAAATCAATTTCTCGTAAATAATTTTTTTATATCATTGACACTACAATTAAAAAAATCTATATTATTGTTTCTAATTAAAATGTTGCACTGGCCCTGCATGCGACTTATGGGAGAAGGGCTAGCAGAGAATAGGTCACTCCTGTTAAGTCTCAAATTAACCTTTGGCACGTGGAACTGTACAAAGTTAACTAAATTACATGTTTTGTATTTGATATTATTTAAGATATTATACAGAAATGGAACACTATGCATATGCCTCCTCTGTTGTAAAGACTGCATATTGAAAATGTCTAGCAAGTTACTGGTAGGCACTAGGTATGGATATATTCCATATTTCTTGAAATATAAATGTCTAAGAAATCTTTTTTGCACTTTCTCAATAAGATTGATGTTTATTTCAGCCTCCGGTACCAATATTATCGATGCATACTCAAGATTTGGTCTGACTAAGGCATTATATAGTCTTGTTGTTGTATTTATGCTGAAATGCTTAGAGTTTCTGATCACGAATCCGAGCATTTTGTATGCCTTGTTAACAATATTATTGTAATGCTCATTAAACTTCATATTATCCTGCAGGTGCACCCCCCCAGGTCTTTACATTTGGTTTTCCTGATTAAAGTCTGATTATTTATTGTATAACAATTTTCAGTAAAATTAATTTTACATGTTAGGGACATAACACCACACTTCTCTATATTTAATACCATATTGTGGTCCCTGAACCATTTCACAACTTAGTCAAGGTCCCCCTGTAAATGCTGACAATCATCAAGAGTACGTATCATCATCTGCAAAAATTAAGCAGGAAGAGTGTGTCAGATATCCCGGTAGTGAGTTCACAAAAATAAAGGGTCGTTGAGGGACACCGGAAGTTGCCTGAAACCAATCCGAAAGGTATGTACCAATTTTGACCCCTTGAAACCTTGATTGAAGGTATGATTTGATAAAGTTACAAGCATCACCTGAAAAGCCAAACTCGCCCAACAATGAGACACAGATACCATGGTCAACCATGTCAAACGCCTTTGCGCAGTCTGTCATTATCAGGTCCAACTGCAACTTATTATCAATTGCTTCACTAGCAAAACTAGACAAAACGCACAAATTACTAGCAGTAAACATGCCTGGCAGGAAACCATGTTGTTCTGTTTTCATTATATCATACAAGACAGTTTCAAATATCTTAGCCAAAGTGTTCAGGATACCAATAGGTCAATAATTCTGCACATTACCAGTATCACCCGTCTTAAATACTGGAGTGATAATGGATTCCTTTAGTTTGTTCGGAAATGTGTTTTTAGTGAAAGATTAAACAGAAATGACAGTGGCTTCAAAAACATTTGAGAGCAACCCTTGAAAATATAGGCAGGAATGTTATCCCCCCCTGTGGCCTTCTTAGGCTTCAGTTTGTTGATACTTAATTTTATATCTTCCTCACTTACTGTAGAAAAGTGGAAAGATCCCTCTGAATGGGACATACCATCATACACGGAAGACATCTAGTAAACTGAGCTAAAGAACTGCGAGAAAGCGTTGGCAATACTCTGAAAACCACTGTATGTGTCCTGATTCAAAACCATTTCAGATGGAAAGCCTCTGGTCTGCCTCCTGCTATCAATAAATGTCCAAAAGCTATTTGGGTCTTGTGAAATACTATGGTCAACATTAGTTTGATAATCTAAAAAAACTTTTTTAGTTTGCTTTTTAATAGAAATTCTGACTTTTTTAAATTCCTTTTCATTTGCAACACTAGCCCTTCCAGTCTTAATTAACCTATATAACCTGTTTTTCCGTCTAACTTCCCTAACCAACCCTACACTAAAATACGAAGGATATCTTTGTTTTCTATTGTTACTGTTACATTTTTTTGGTATGGCTTGTTCAATACATTCATACAGTTTATTATAAAACACACTTACACAATCATTTACACCATCACAATCATACATAGTTGTCCAGTCCGTGTCTCTTATCAGGCAGTACAGAAGATTAAAATCGCCTCTGGCATAATCATAACAATAAGATTGATGTATATTATTATTTTCATTTTTATTTTGACTATATTGACTCAATTTCAAATTGAGTGACAATTCAAGCGCTAAATGATAATTATCCTCCACAACCAAAGGAGACGCAGATCTACTCAATCCTGGCAAAGGCATATTATTTGTTTCTATCACACCAAGCATTCAAAGCATTTAAATTATGTTGTAAAATGTGACAATCATTCATTGAGACCACAGCCACGCCGATCTTCAGATCATCAGCATAAGCCAGCTTAAAACAAGAGAGTGAATCAAGAAGGTGATTGATAAATATATTAAACAGCAGTGGTGCTAGGTTCAAACCTTGTGGCACACCTGAACTTGAGCTAAACGCTGGTGATCTAAATCCCTCATGATCTATAAATTGAGTCCTATCCAACAGGCAAACAAGACGATCAGACATTCCAAAAGATTTAAGCTTAGATAACAAACAGTAGTGGTCAATACTGTCACAACTACCCGCTTTACGGGGGTGACATGGGGGGTTTGTAGCTTTGGGGGTTGATGGAGAGAAACTCGCTCAGGTTATATAAAAATATAGATATATATTTTTCCCAAATATAACCTTACATGTACGCTAATCCTATAAGATACATGACCCTTCGTACACTGGGGTCCTTATAGGGAGCCACACGTCAATGCTGCTTGGGGGACTGTAGATAAGTTTATCGTCACCCTTATGCCTTGTCCAGAGGGGCGTTCCCAACGAGAGGTAATTGCACTGGACAACGATAAGGCTGAAGATACCCAGAGGGGCGTTCCCAACGAGAGGTACTTGCACTGGGGAGACTTAATTCCAGAGGGGCTTTTCCAACGAGAGGTACTTGCACTGGTTTAAGTCTGCCTTTGCTGCGGCTTGCAGCGCAATTTATATCAATTTATTGCTGAATTGCAATAAACATCCGACCGAATCGGCAATTAAATTAATAAGGTTGAATACCGGGTCCTCCTTTCCTAAGCAGCTAGTTGACAATACGATCAAATGCTGTTTGGAAGTCTGTGTAGACAATGTCTACCTGCCCACGACCATCCAAAGACGTGCTTATTTTTTGAGACAATAATGCCAGATTAGAGATACACGATCTACCGTCTATGAATCCATGCTGATCGTCTGAAAGTTTGTTCCTTATACGCGGATATATTTTGTTGTACATTATTATTTCAAAAATTTTAGAAAAATTGCATAAAATTGAGATTGGGCGATAATTGTTTATGCAAGATGAGTCACCAGATTTAAACATCGGGGTGATTTTCGCTGTTTTCCAGACAGCATGGAAGGTACTAGTTTTTATAACTAAATTAAACAGAGTAGAGGGTCCGCTAGTATACTGATGCATTGAAGATCCGAAAAATTTCAGCCAGACTCACTTTCCACTATCTGAGATAAGCCATTTTCATATGTTCTATTTTGGTGAATGTGAGATATTTATGACTGGGAAAATAAGTGTACATGTATTTTTCATTGAAACTCAAATATTCTTGTTTTGTATCACTAAGAGAACAAACTATTTAATACACACCAACTGGGAAAATTAATGCTAAAAAATTTCACTGCCTCCTGGACTATTATTATGCTGGATTATGATATGCACTACCTTATGATTTGGATTTTTAAAAAGTTTGAAAACCCTTAACTTTTTTTCTATCAAAGATGGAAAACTGAAATTTACAGCGTTTCTTATTCTAGTGGAGGACTACAATCCCAATTTCAGCTCATTTGGACTTATAGTTCCAGAAATAAAATCGCGTTAAGCAATTTGTGGTGATCTTATCAATTTTTCAATTTCCTGACTTCCTTTTTTCATAGATTTTGACTGCAAATCTCAGAATAATTTAATGTATGGAGTTTAGTTACTCAACATAAAAAAAATTGGAATTTCATCATTTTAGTGCTAAGGTAGCTACCTCATGATTTAGATTTTGGAAAACTTTGATAGGTCATAACTTTTTTTCTATTTAAAGATAGAAAGCTGAAATTCTTATCCCAGTAGAGGACTATAATCCCTGAAAATTTCAGCTCATTTGTACTGGTAGTTCCTGAGATAAAATCGTGTTAAGAAATTTGGGGTGATTTCTCAATTTTTCTGAGTGCCTTTTTTCATAGAATCTGGCTCCAAATCTGAGAATAATTTAGTGTATGGAGTTTGGGGGATTCCAAAGGACTATTAGGACACAAAATCTGAAAGGCTAATCCAATGGGACAATAATACATGTTATATCCAAATATGTTAGTTTGAAGTACTAATAAAAAAGTTCTTAAAAAAGTAAATTCGGTGTGTCGCCATCTAACATACATATATGGGGTTTTCCATTTAAAAAAGTATAACTTTGCTTCATCAAAATTTTGTGACACAACTTGTATATTTGTAACCAACATCATTGAGAACTATCTGATATTACCTGCTACAACCACACAACTTTCACATTTGACATTTCTGGATATCTCTTTAAACAGGTGAGATAAGTGTAGGTGCAAAATATAGATAATCCCCCAGTACCCTATGATTTAGATTTTGGAAAACTTTGAAAGGCCATAACTTTTTTTCTATTAAAGATAGAAAACTGAAATTTTCAGCGATTCTTATTCCAGTCGAGGACTATAATCCCTAAATATTTCAGTTCATTTGAACTTATAGTTCCAGAAATAAAATTCTGGATCTTTTTCTTAGTTAAACCACTAAAGTTGCCTTTCTAGTCACCCAACAATAATAATTATTTTCAGTAACGACGTAAAAGAAAAACACCTGACAACCTTTTTCGATTGGGCCTCAGAACAAAGCCTGGCACCAGAGTCAAACACTTTCGTAAAACACGGCACCTTGGCGTGCGTCGCAATGATAATCAAACACGGTAAAAGAGAAGATATTTTGCCGCACGCCCCAAAACTACTTTCCTGGATAACGAATCCCGAATTCAAAGTAGTTCAGAAACTCGTTTACAAAATCATCCAAAGAATTGGTAAATAATTAAAACAATCCTCATATTATAATAATTATTTAAAACCAAATTTAGGTCTTACATTTTTACCTCCCCGTATCGCTGCTTGGCGCTACCAAAGAGGCAACCGATCCCTTCTAGCCAACTTAAGTGCAGCAGGGGATTTATCTCAATCAAATTTGCCCAGCAATAACTTGGCTGAACAACCCGAAGAGGAACTAGACGTTCCAGAAGAAGTTGAAGAAGTCATCGATCAACTAATCCAAGGTTTAAGATGCGTAGACAACGTGGTGCGATGGTCAGCGGCAAAAGGAGTTGGTAGAGTCACTTCAAGACTTCCAAAAGATTTAGCAGACGAAGTTGTAGGCTCGGTTTTGGAGCTATTGGGACCTCGTGAAAATGATGCAGCTTGGCACGGTGGATGTATAGCTTTGGCTGAATTAGGCAGGCGAGGTCTTCTTTTACCTGCAAGACTACCGCAAGTGGTTCCTCTTGTTTTAAAGGCTTTGGTTTACGACGAACCAAGAGGCTACGCTTCAGTGGGTTCTCACATTCGAGATGCTGCATGTTACGTTTGTTGGGCATTCGCCAGGGCGTATGAACCATCAGATTTGGCTCCTTATGTACAGGATATTGCCAGCACTTTACTTATTGTTACTTGTTTTGATAGAGAGGTAATAATAATTATTAGAATTATTAGGTTTTATTGAGTTTTTTTTTTTAGATAAATTGTAGAAGAGCAGCATCAGCAGCTTTTCAAGAAAATGTTGGAAGGCAAGGCACTTTTCCTCACGGTATTGATATTTTAACTACTGCGGATTTTTTTGCTGTCAGTGTGCAAAATAATGCCTACTTAAACATAAGCGTTTATATTGCTCAGTTTAAAGAGTACACAATTCCTTTGATTGATCATCTTTTGGCTAGGAAAGTTGATCATTGGGATAGTTCCATTAGGGAGCTTACTGCAAAGGCTTTACACAATCTTACTCCACAGGTAAATGATATGTTTAAAAAAAAAAAAACAGAGTTGTAATTTATAATTTTAGGCTCCTGAATATATGATAGACAAAATCTTACCAAGTCTTTTGGAGAAAACCACAAGTATTGACCTGAACAATAGACACGGTGCAGTAATAGCAATCGGTCAAATAATTTATGCACTCTCAAAAGACAATTTGCCTTTGCCAGAATCTATTTTGCAGAGTATCAAAGGTTTGATACAGAAATTCAATGCCAGCCAATATTTTCGTGGATTGGGAGGCGAAATGATGAAACAAGCCTGTTCAGATTTTATAGGGAAATGTTCCCTAGCTAAACTACCTTTTCATCAGGATGCTGTTATTGGTAAAAATTAATTTTAATGCACAAATGCAACAAAAATACATAATTATTTTAAGATGAATGGCTGGCACTCCTAAACGATTGTTTATCCTATGAAGTATCCAATGTTCGTTTAGCCTCAATAACTGCCTTACCAGTCTTACTAAACGAATACTACAGTATCCTAGACAAAGAACAAGTTAACAACGCACTTATAAAAATCTACGTCAGAGAATTGTCGATGGAAATTAAACAATCTACCAGGATGGGGCATGCTTTGGCTTTAGGGTCTTTGCCCAAATATATTTTGCAATCGAATTTCCAGCTTGTTTTTGATGCCCTTATTGATGCGGCGAAAATAAATGTGACTACTGCCAAATGGGCTGAAGCTAGACGAGATTGTGTTAGAGCTTTGACTTCGGTTATTGTCACTATGGCTGAAGAAATTGGAAAAGGTAAGAATTTGTTTGGATTTGTTGCTTTGATTTTTTCAATTCATATTTAGGTTTAGCCTGACTTGTATTAATAGTCCTTGAATTATTGGAAAAGTAGGCTAGTAAAACTATGCTTATTTTGAGGTGAACCTCAGACAAATTCGCTACAAGCTAATTTTTGCGCCATTGTGTTTCTTTTGAGGTTTTATATAACTGGCTAAAAATCCCAAAAAATCCGATATGGGGCACAGCTCCTGAATCACCACTAAAGGTACATTTTTTAAGTTTTTTGCAATTTTCTTAAAATCAACAAGTTTTTTGAAAAATTTGCAAGATACCTTTTTTGTAGAGCACAGAATTTGCAATTTTTTGGTATAAGATATTTTATTATTTAAATAAGCTTAAGATATACAGGGTGAGTTATTAGTCGCGTGGTGGTCTATAACTCCTATACTAACATATCGAAGAAACCACTAAATGCAAAACTTGTAGTTAAACATGAGTACTATATTCCCAAATTATTTTCCAGTATACAGGCAGGGTGGCCCAATAAGTAGTGATGATACAAAATTATTATTTTTTAAATCACTCCCCCTGTATATTATGACATTTGACACCAACTTTCAATTTAGTCCATGATTGAAAATTCCGCTAAAATTATGAATCTCCGGTTAAATTCAAAGTTGGTGTCAAAATCTAGGATAGGAATGTAAAATCGGTTCTGCTGTAAAATCAACAATTTAGGTTTTACAGTCTGTCAAAGATGCTAAAAAGTCAATTTTAAACTGTCAATATTTTCGAAACAGTTGAAGATAGGTATATGATATTGTACATGAAATTTGTCTAGAATTTTCCATAGAATCCAGAAATGTCATAATATACCTACAGGAAGAGTCATTTAAAAAACATAGCTTGTATCACCACTACTTATTGGGCCACCCTGGATACTGGAAAATAATTTAGGAATGTAATACTCATGTTTATCTACAAGTTTTGTATTTAGTTTTTTCTTCGATCTCCGTTAGTATAGGATATATGGACCATCGTGCGCTTAGTAACTCATCCTGTATAAGAGTAAAATATTTATTTATACACCAAGTGAGTTAAATGAATGTTTATTCATGAGAGGAAAGTTTGACCCTTGAGCCCTAGCGAATAGGTTAATTTTCTTCGAATAAATTAACATTTTAACTCACGTGCTCTAAGTATACAAAATTTTATCCCATTTTGTGGAAATTTAGAAGATAAAGTACAAGGAAAAATGCCGAGAGTGAATTAAAAATATTTTGAATCATTGAGTTGTCAGATTTTTGGTTAGGCAGAGTGACCTAAAATGCTGAGAGTGAGTTAAATTTTTTTTGAATCACTGGAGGTGATAAACTTCTACTTAACTTTATTATTATGCGTTCAATAATGTCATTTTTAAACGTCAAAATGGGATAATAGTTATTTATACACCAAGTGAGTTAAATGAATGTTTATTCATGAGAAGAAAGTTTAACCCACGAACCCTAGCGAGTGAGTTAATTTTCTTCGAATGAATAAGCATATTAAATCACGTGATGTATACAAAATTTTATCCCATTTTTGGAAATTTAAAAAATTAAGTACAAAGAAAAATGCCGAGATTGAGTTAAAAATATTTTAAATCACTGAGGTTTCAGATTTTTAGTTGGGCAGAGTGACTTAAAATGCCAAGAGTGAGTTAAAATGTTTTTAAATCACTGAGATGATAAACGTCTACTACCTTTATTGTTATGCGTTCAATAATGTAATTTTTAAACGTCAAAATGGGATAAAAATATAAAAAAGTAAGATTTAAAGGACCCCGCAATATTTAGACGGAAATTGGTTACCCGTGATATTTGAATGAAATTCAAATATGTTATTAAAAATGCCATAAACAACATTTTTTACCATAGGCGTAACCTTGTATATATGACAGGTGAGGCGGCATCGGCTGTCAAATATTGGAATTTCATATTCAAAAGCAGGGTAACTATGACAGATTTTGATGAAGCAAGTATAGAGTCCTACTAAGTCGAACAAGGTAAATCGAAAAATGTCAACCATTTTAACATCTGTCAAAACCCTGTCAAACGACAGCACTCATATTTTTCAGTTTTCAATATTTCATGATGTGTCATTTAACAGTTTTAGTCTATGTCAATTTTGAGTTGAAAACTTGAAAAAAAAAAAAAAAATTACAGAACTGTCAAAACCTGTCATTGATTTTAGTAGGAAAAAAGATTCATGTCTGGTTCTTTTTTGTTTTAAGGTAGTTTATTGGTAATAAAACATTAAGCAAAGCTCATAGACATCAAATTTTGACAGCTGTCAAAATCTAGAACCTGTGAATAAATTTTTAAATAATTGGAACAGATCTAGAGTTCAGTTTTTTTTTCTTCAATTAAAGCTAATGTCAGATTCTGACAGCTGTCAAAATTTGATGTCTATGAGTTTTGTTTAATGATTTATCACCAATAAACTACCTTCAAACGAAAAAGGGTCAAATTGGATTTTTTTTCGTTACTAAAACAAATGACAAGTTTCGACATTTCTGTAATTTTTTTTTTCGATTTCTGAACTGAGAGTTTACATAGGTTGAAACTGTCAAATGACACAACATGAAATATTGAAAATTGAAAAATATGAGTGCTGTCGTTGGACAGGGTTTTGACAGATGTCAAAATGGTTGACATTTTTCGATTTTCCTTTTCGATACTTACTTCATGAACATCTGCCATAGTTACGCTGCTTTTGAATATTAGATTCCAATATTTGACAGCTGATACCGTCTCACCTGTCATATATACAAGGTTACGCCCATGGTAAAAATTTTGCTTACGGCATTTCCAATAACAAATTTAAATTTCATCCAAATATCACGGGTAACTAATTTCCGGGGTCCTTTTTCGATACCGTGGGAAAATCTCTAGATTGGCGGCGCCTTAGGTCTGAAATTTCGGGGATTTAACCCGGGCCAACCCCAAATTTTTCGACGTCATGATGTTATCCTATTACAGGATGCTGTAATGGTTAATAGGGAAAATTCGTAAATCATCATGCCACCGACGTTTAATGTGGAAACAAACAGGGGTACCATGTTTCACGGTTATTTTTACTTATAACTGATAAGCGTTCCGATTCTAGCAAAAACAGCAAGCTCAGACTTGCATTTATATTTTGTCGATGATAAACATGCATGTATTTTTTCACTGCAGAGTGGAGAATTTCCCTGATACATAACCTGAAATTTTATAGATTTTCGGATGCTGCCCATGCGCTGGATCTATAGAGATTAATTTCATTCCTTAAGATTTCCCACTATCTTTCCAAGGTTTCCCCCGAATTCCATAAAAATTTCCTCGATTTCCCTTGATTGCCTTGAATTTCCTCTTGATTTCTCCTAGTTTGTGCACCAGATTTTTTTTGCCGTTTACCCCTGAGGGATTATTTCCTCAGTTTTTTTTTCTGATATAAATAAGATTGCCCAAGAGTTCTCATAATAACATAACTTCAAATTATAAAGATATTTGAAAACTGTGCATACGCTGGATCTAGAGATTGATTGATTTCCTTTAAATTTTCCCTGAATTCTTTAAGAATTTCCTTAACATCCCCTGATTGCCTTAATTTGTACATTAAATTTCCCTTGCGGTTTACCGCTGCCTGAGGAGTAACTCGCAGGTCAGTTTTTGTACACCAGATTCCGGTTTTAGAGGAAACCAATAATTATTTTCCCAGATTTCTTTTGACTACCAGTAAGATTGCCCAAGAGTTTCCCTAGAAGAGGATCTTTGAAGTCAATTAAGACAAAAAGACATAGTTTTTCTATTCCAGGCTTTCATATTTTGTCTATTTTTTCTGAATTTTCTTTATTTGAACAAGCTCAGAAGATATTGAAGATTCGAGAGCCAGGAATTGACAAAAATTGAGAAATGAAGAGGAGATTTAACGCATTTGATATTTGTTGGACAAAAAGACGTACAGTTTTTCTATTTCTGGTTCTCATATTTTGTCTGTTTTTCTAAATTTCCTTTATTTAAAGGAGTTTAGAAGATATTGAAGATTCAAGGGCCAGGAATAGACAAAAATTGATTCAATGAAATTGAGAAATAAAGAGGACATTTAAAGTAAATTGAAGAAAAACTGTTAGACAAAAACACATAGTATTCCTATTCCTGGCTCTCATATTTTGACTATTTTTCTGAATTTTCTTTCTTTAAAGAAGCTCAGAAGATATTGAAGATTCAGGAACTAGGAATAGACAAAAATTGAGACAAAGAAATTGAGAAATACCCTGATGGCACAAACATATTGCAGGAATATTTGTGGCATATTTCATGGGAATATAAAGATATCCGATGCATATGCCATGAAGATCTTTTTATGTGACAGGAATATCCAAGGCATATGCTTAAGCACCAGTAATGGGGGCACCTGAGCCTGAGGAAGGACCCCGCAAATAGTTAAACGGAAATTGGTTACCCGTGATATTTGGAGGGAACCTATGACAGATTTTGATGAAGCTAGATTCCTACTGAGTCAAACAAGGTATATCGAAAAATGTCAATCATTTTGACATTTGTCAAAACCCTGCCAAACAGCAGCACTCATATTTTTCAGTTTCCAATATTTTATGATGTGTCATTTGACAGTTTTAGTCTATGTCAATTCTGAATTGAAAACTTGGAAAAAAAATGACAGAACTGTCAAAACCTGTCATTTATTTTAGTAGGAAAAAAGATTCATGTCTGTTTTTTTTGTTTTGTTTTAAGGTAATTTATTGGTAATAAAACATTAAACAAAGCTCATAGACATCAAATTTTGACAGTTGTCAAAATCTGAAACCTGTGAATGTTTGTTCATGCTTCATCATGAATAAGCATAACCTAAATAATTGGAACAAAACTATAATTCAGTTTTTTTTTCTTCAATTAATGCTAATGTCAGATTCTGAGAGCTGTCAAAATTTGATGTCTATGAGTTTTGTTTAATGATTTATCACCAATAAACTACCTTCAAACGAAAAAGGGCCAAATTGGAATTTTTTTTTTTCTGTTACTAAAACAAATGACAAGTTTCGACATTTCTGTAATTTTTTTTTTCCAATTTCTGAACTGAGAGTTTACATAGGTTGAAATTGTCCAATGACACAACATGAAATATTGAAAACTGAAAAATATGAGTGCCGTCGTTTAGCAGGGTTCTGACAGATGTCAAAATGGTTGACATTTTTCGATTTTCCTTAGTTGACTTATTAGGAATCCATACTTGCTTCATCAAAATCTGCCATAGTTACCTTGCTTCTGAATATTAAGATTCCAATATTTGACAGCTGATACCTCCTCACCTGTCATATATACAAGGTGACGCCCATGGTAAAAAATTTTGCTTACGGCATTGCCAATAACATACTGAAATTTCATCCAAATATCACGGGTAACCAATTTCCGTTTAAATATTGCGGGGTCCTTTGTATTAGTCTTCCTTATCATTCTAGTGACATGTGCCTAAAGAACTTAACTGGTGTTCGGAATATTTATTGTTATAACTAATCAAAAGCCGGGAAAATTGAAAAATTGAATTTTTAATCCAATTAAGAATCGGAAATATTGGAACATGGAATTTTAAAACATCAAATTGGGCCAACCAAGAGCCGGGAATATTTGAAAATTGAATTATAAGGCAAATCAGGAGCCGGGAATTTACAAATATCGAATTTTTAAACCAATCAGAAGCAGGGAAAATTGGAAAATTGAATTTTTAAGTCAATTAAGAATCGGAAATATTCAAATATTAAATTTCAAAACGTCAAACTAAACCAATCAAGAGCCGAGAATATTTGAAAATTCAATTTTAAAGCAAATCAAGAACCGGGAATTTACAAATATTTTAATTTTTAAGCCAATGAAAAACCGGGAAAATTGAAAAATTGAATTTTAAAATCAATTAATAACGGAAATATTCGAACATTGAATTTTGAACTACCTATGAAAGAAAAGAATGAGCCGACTGGAATGAACAAAGAACACTGAACCGAGTCATAGCATTTTAAGATGTTGCGTTCTGATCGCGTTGCTCCCCTCCTAGCTAAAGTAAATAACTGTTGAATTCTAAGGCCTGTATCAACACTAAAATTTCTTCAAATAATACAGAAGAGTATACCATTTGATTCGAAATTTTGTACTCTACAAAAAACATACCTTGTACTTTTTTGGTTAAACTTACCGTTTTCGAGAAAACTCTAACAAACCTAAAAAATGTATCTTTGGGGTTTTGCTCCCTATCGGATTTTTTGGGATTTTTAACCTATTATAGGAAACACTGAAAGGAACACAATGGCGCAAAAATCAGCTTGTAGCGAATTTATTTAGGGTTGCCCACCTAATTTTACTAGCCTAAAGTCAAAATTGGAAAAATATGAAAAATAAAAATTTTGAGTTTTTTAAAAGGGTACCCCTTTTGGATTCTTATTTCAAAATCTTTAGGCTTCAATATCTTGAAATCCGTAAGAGATATTAAGAGAATTGTAGTTCCTATTTAGCTCCAAAACACCTGTAGGTATTGGATTTTTTTTTTGTGTTTATAATTTTTCAGAAAATTGAGTTTGAAGTTTTTGACTAAATTACGACTAAAATTCAACTTTGAGGATCAATTGCTCAATAAGTATTTGAGCTATCTAACTCAATTTAGCACAAATTTATAGAGAATTCAATGCTCTTTCTGATAGTGTATAATTTATTATGATTTGTCCAAATTTTAATGGAAATATTGGCAATTTTTCTTAACCTTGTCAGGATTCAAAACAAAATCAGAACCAAAAAATTGAGTTCGAAGTTTTGTATAAATTTTAACTTTGAGACTCAACTACTCAAAGAGTATTCGAGCTATCAAACTTAATTTAACACAGATTTATAGGGAATTTATTGCTCTTTCTAATAGTGTATACTTTATTCTGATTTGTTCATTCGAATTTCCCAATTTTCTCATGGGATTTTCAATTAAGTAGTGATCCTGTCCCATATGATTCGGATCTGAAAATGAGTGGGAAAAAAACTCTTGCATTCAATTCATTGAACAGTGTGTTTATACTGTATACCTACTTTGAAATGTGCTGAAATAATCATAATTTTCCTAAATCCCTTTCAGGTTTTAATGAAAATCACATTGCAAGTATCTACAAAACCCTTTTCGAAGGATTAACTGATTACTCTCAGGATAAAAGAGGAGATATTGGAGCTTGGGTCAGAGAAGCTTGTGTAACTGGTTTACAGGTAAAACTAGCAAACTGAATAATTCATATTTTAAACAAAACTTTTTCCAGGTTCTTACTCTATTATTAACTGAACATCTCCCACAAATTCTAACTCCAAACCTAATGAATCAGATTTTATCAAGCATTGCACAGCAAGCAGTTGAAAAAATTGATAGAACTAGAGCACTTTCTGGAAAAGCATTTTGCAGCTTAATTTATAAGTAAGTCGAAAGCCTATTATTAAGGCTTCTATTATAAGATATTTTTTAGTGAATCTCGGGTGCCCAATATTTTGCACCACGACGAAATAGCTTTAATATTTCCCAAAGAAGAGTGGACCTCTCTAAATTGGAACTCAGCAGGAGCTACTTTTCCAAAATTCGTACAATTATTACAATTTAACCCTTACACTTATCCAGTTTTGGTTGGTTTAATTTGTAGCATTGGTGGTTTAACAGAGACTTTGGTAAGTTCACATACAATAATTGTATTAAACAAATTTAATTTTTAAAAAAATTCCAGATCAAAAACTCAAGTTCTTCTTTATTCAACTACCTAAAGCAAGAAGAAAAATCTAAAGGAACAACCGAAATACGTCGTATATGTGAAACAATTCATCAAATTTTTTTAGACCATCAAAAACAAGATAGAATAACCATCCCTCTATTCAGCTTCTTAGACAAACTATTTGACTCAGGTTGCATCAACTCAATAATCGAAGATCCCGCTTATGATTGGACAAAAAGAATCCTAAAACTAATCCAAATGGAAATATCCGGCTGCAAAAACATCTACAAACTTATCGATGGCATAAATGCCTTGTGCCAATTCGTACAAGTTTCTGGTAATGTTTGTAAAACAGCTTTGGTGCAATTGAGCATTCTTCTTTGTCATCGGCAATCTTATGTGAGACGTTCCACTGCGGTGAAATTGTATGAATCGATTTTGGTGTGCGGAGACAGTAGCAGTATCCCTATGGAAAATTTGGATGAAATCATGCAAATTTTGAGCGACATTAATTGGGAAAGTCCCTTGGAGGAAATACGTCCGATTAGGAATAATTTGTGCGTTTTAATGGGAGTTAATATTCCTGTTAGTGTCAAAAAGAAATAATAATTATAGGTTGATGATTTTGTATTACAACCTTATTAATACTAAAACAATATTTTTAACATAAAATTAATCTTTTTGTAATAGCTATTTAATTCCCGCATGATATAGATTTGTTAATATTGTGATACAATTACATATTATTTAATAGAAGCCTTATTTGTTTTGTAACTTTTAATAAAAAATTTGCCCAATTAATATGAGTGAAATTGAATTACGATTTTTTTTTCTGACGCTAAAGATTCAGAATAACATTTTGAGTTTTTATAAGATTGATTGATTTTCGCAGTTGATTGAATTAAAACACAAATAAAATAAGATATGAATTTACTCAAAGTAGTATACAAGATGCACACAAAGGTGACAGAAATTAAACAAGTACTTTTTGGACACTTTAGCCTTAATACGTATTTACAATATCATTTAAATTGTACAAAAGTATATTACAAAAACATACAAAAATACTTTTTAGTCCGGAACAGGCTTTGGCTAGCTAGCAAATAGGAAAATGCATAAAATAATACTAACAAAATTTTGACACATTCAACAATAACATCCTATCACGACTTGAAAATAATGCTTTGCTAGCTACCCTCTCCCATTTCCTCTGGTTATGTGGGAAGTCTCGGAGGCCTGGCCCAAGTATAGACGTAGCCGTCTTGGCACGCGGTTATCAGACAGTCTGGTCGAAAAATCAACGAAGTCAAACGTTCGTGAGCAATTTTTTTACAAACTAAAGCTTCAAGCATAGGACACTCGTCCAATCTAGGACATGATGGCGTCCCGACCAATTGAAGAGGATCAGAACGTCTTTTTGCTCTGGCTCTAAAACAATAATTTATTTCAATCTAAAAAATTACTAAAAATACAAACAAACCTAGGAGGCACTAAATTATCTTCAGGCAATTCCCACAAACAAATTTGTGTATCGTGCCCGACAGCCCCTATTCTATAACAAGACTCGCCCTCTAAAAACCAATCAAACATCACTGCCGCCACCCAAGATCTGTGCCCTTGGGCTCTCGCAATTACCCGTTTCAGTTCATTGGAATAAACAGTCACTAAATCGTCTTCGCCCCCTACTGCGATCAATCGCCCGTCCCCTGACCAACTCACGCACAAAAGTCCACCGAAATAACTACGGGCAGTACCTAAAAGTTCCATACTGTCGTATTGGAATATTCGCAGTAGACCGTCTTGGGTTACTATTGCTAATTGAGACCCGTTAGGGCTAAATGCTAATTGGTTAATAGCGGCTCCTTCACCCAGGTACCATCTGAATAAAGGGTTGCGAGTCGATTTTGTTTTGCAAGTGTTTACAGAGAAGTTTTCACCGGCTTTGAAGGGTTGGTAGTGCGGTGCTGTGCTGCAACATGGCAACTCTTCATTGTAGACATAAAACTGACCTAAAATTTGTCCTTATTTATGAAAGAAGTTTTCAAGTTTCACATTTATTTATTACCTGACGCATGTGCTGCAAGGAACAAAGACCGACTTCCAGGTACCCATTTCAGACACGTCACCTTACTTTTATCTATTAAACGTTCTTCATTAAATAATTTACTTACTTCCTTTTTTATAGGATCAATTAATTGTATTTGTCCAGTACTAAATCCTGAAAGAAAAAGGTAATTCTGTTATCTTTTGCCTCTTGGTGCCAGTTTCTCAATAGTGAGTTGATTTTAACTCCAGAGTAAATGTGTCCAGTTGCAATGTTTACCCTGGAGTTATGCTTAATCCGCTATTGAGAAAACAGCCCTTAGAAACGAATTAGTAAATTGCTGTAACACTTTCATGGCACAATTAGCTCAATGTTATGGACAAGGACATGTAAGAGTTTTTGTGTTTACTTATACAGGGTGTCCCATCGGAAACCAAATGCACTTCCGGTTATACCGGAAATAGATGTCAACTTGCTTATATTAAATGAGCCTCTATGTGATTGCATATTGGTGAAATTCTGAGCAGATTTCATGTGATATACCCAATGACATATCAACACAGATAGTCATTACAGTAAACACAATTTTGTGTCGTCAACATCTATAGGAGAGCAATCCACCACCAGTATATCCCCTCCAATTTGGTTGCCAAATTATTACAGATTGATATTTTATGTTGTTATGACTTTGCTTCAAAAAGTTGGAGGTTCAAGACTAAAAACGACCACTGGCAATGCCGGTTCTGTAAGACAGGTGGAACTAGTGATGGTAAATTTCCAGGAATTTATTTTTTGGGAATATTCCTTGGAAATATTCCCAAGAATGTTTCCAAAGTGGGAATTTTCGGGGAATTTTCTGCTTTAAGTGAAAACCCCTATTTATATGAGCAAAGTTGTAGAGTAATGTGTGAAATGTGCAATAAAACATTTATTTGTTGATAAGTCAACAGCTTTATTTATTTCAAAACTGAGAAAAATTAAACAAATTCACATTACCCTAATTTAGGTCTCTTTACAGTTCCTTATATCAATGGCGAGGGTTACCTGATGCAATTTTAAACCCAAATAGGTAACGCAAAAACAGCTGAACCAAATATCAGGATAAACTTATGGTATAAATGGAACTAGAAGAAATAGAGAAATCATATTAGCCAAAAATATACAGGGTGTTCCATTTAAAAAATGCAAGTGTTTGCCATTATGACGGTTGGCACATCATTTGCCCGTTTTGATATTTGCAAAAGATAATAGAGATAAAAATAAGGAACAAACCCTGTACGTACATGTTATCGTCGAGGTTATCGTCATTCTGTTCAGATCCAGAAGAATCACCACTCAAACTCTCAATTTCTTGTTGTTTGTTGTTTACACTCACCAAATAGCGCGGTTTTTATATTCAAACTCCACACAAAGTCAAAATAAACATTCCAACGCCACCAGCGTGAATAAACTCACTTAAAAAATAAATTCCCTGTAACGGAAATTTATTTATCCTTCGAGGAATATTCCCGGGAAAATTCCCATTTTGCAAAATTTCCAAATTGGGAATATTCCCTTTGCCCATCACTAGGTGGAACACACCTGCAATCCATTGGCATGTCAATGCGCCCATCAAACATATCGTCGTTAATTTCACAAAGTGGCGTATCTCAAAAAAAACCTGATTTGAGACACGTCACTTTGTGAAATTAACGACGATAAAGGAGCATTTACATTCACTTCTAACTTCAAGATAAATTTGACGTTTGATATTTTATTATTTACATTGCAAAACAGAAACGTCAAGTCAAAAAGTCAGAATTTTATGAGAATCAGATGAATAATTTATAAACTTGACATTTCGCAAATTTTTGCTTGCCTTCGGCAAGCAGCTTGCCCAAATCTAGAGTGAACTTCAAATTTATTTCAATGTAAATGGATCTGTGCTGTCACCATATGGCAAGCACATCAATTTCAAGCCAAATTGGACTTTGAAGTGAATGTAAATGCACCATATGAGTTACAGGCAGACACATAGATAAACAAATTGCACCCGTGCGCTTTTCTTTATTATTTTGGTCAAGTTAATGACTGGATTCAGATCATTGAGGCATCCCTACCATCCCTACCATGACCCCCCTCGAATAGCTCACCTCTCCTGGCCCCTGGGTCTTGTCATCACAACAAACATCAGTTTATAAATGCGATGTGGTGTCTATCTGTGTTAAGATTTCATTGGATATACCCTATACCCAATGAACCTATACCTAATTTCAACTGTTTTGGAAATATTGACAGTTGAAAATTGACTTTCTGCAACTTTGACAGGCTGTAAAACCTAAACGGTTAATTTTAAAGGAAACCCGATTTTACATTCCTATCTTAGATTTTTATAAATTATCATTTGACACCAACTTTGAATTGAATCCATGATTAAAAATTCCAATTAAATTCGATATCCAGGTAAATTCAAAGTTGATGTCAAATGATAGTTTATGAAAATCTAAAATAGGAATGTAAAATCGTTTCACCTCTAAAATTTACTGTTCAGGTTTTACAGCCTTTCAAAGTTGCAAAAAGTCAATTTTCAACTGTCAATATTTCTAAAACAGTTGAACTTAGGTATAGGCAATGAACTATAGCTAAAAACTGGAATGAGCACACATTGCCATATCTGCCAAAAAAATGAAGCCATGAAAGACAGATGCCACAAGGGGGAATGTTGTTTTTTTCTGTTGCTCGCTGACATATGACGTTTTCGAAAGTTTTGTCATATTTCCCTTCACAGGTTTCATCAATTGGAATACGTGTTGGAAGCAATTTTCGCCATTTAACATAATGAGTGCCACAAAAACAGGTATCCCCTCCGCAGCAGCCGCACTAGGCTTCACGTTCGTCCTTATGTGTTCGCATTCCAGTTTTTAGTTATAGTTCATTGGGTATAGGCCATATCACATGAAATCTGCTCAGAATTTTACGTAGAATCCAAATATGCAATTACATACAGGGTGACCCATTTAAAATATAACCAGAAGAGCCACCATCTTGAAAATCTTTTAGCAGGGTTGACTATTGACGTTAGTATTTTGTCAAATTTTGAAAAAATTTTTGCATACAGTTTTTCATATACTTATATACTAGGTTTATTTCTGCAGAAATCACAAACCAGTCAGAGCTAATTTCATTGGTTGAAAACAGTCAGAAAACTAGTTTCAACCAATGAAATCCACTCTGACTAATTTGTGATTGCTACAGAAACAGACCTATTCATTTGGTTCCTGGTAGAGCGCAAAATTGTATATTTGTTTCAACAGTTTTGCACCTGAAAAGCTTCAAAATTGAAATATCAAACATTGAAAATTTTCTAAAAATGACACCGAGACAGTTCTTGCCTTACAGTTCCGTTACCTTTGATTCAATTTCAATGTACCTAATTAAGCTCTTATTAAAGCCAATTAAATTCTCTACAAAGCTGTTAATTAAAATTTTCATCTTTTTGTATAGGGTGGTCCAATTTGAACAGTTTAAATAGAATAATATAATATAATATTTGTATTATATAACATATTATGTGTAGGTTTTCAAAATCATATAATTTTTACCGTCCACGGAAAATTGTTCGAAAATAATTGTTCGAAAGAAAATTGTTCGAACGGAAAATTGTTCGAATGGAAAATTGTTCGAACAGCAAATTGTTCGAAGGGAATATTGTTCGAACGGAGAATTGTTCAAACGGAAAATTATTCGAACGGAAAATTATTTGAACGGAAAATTATTCCAACGGAAAATTATTCAAACGAAAAATTGTTCGAAAATAATTGTTCGAAAGAAATTTGTTCGAAAGTAAATTGCTCGAATGGAAAATTGTTTTTTTGCCGAAAAATCAATAGTTTAACTGTGAATCGTGAATGAATCTATGACCGGAGTTACCCAATTCCTAAATTCTTACTATTTGTCCCTGATTCTTAATTCTTGGTTTTTTAAATTCAATACAACATTTGTATTTTTACGTCTGTTTGTTATTTTAATTGTACATGTATTTCAATTTTTGGCATTTATTCTCACATTTGTTTTGCTTTTTGTTTCAATGCTTGTTATATTTTATTTTATTTTTTATATATTTTTATCGAGATTTTTATTCTGATTACTTTATATTGCCTAGATGGCGGCTTTGTACGTAAGAAGTTTTTCTGTTTACAATAAAGCATAGTTTGATTTGATTTGAATATTAATATACAAGGACTAGCACGCATTAGGTGGACGGGTTAATTTGGTTTAGTTTGCATTTTTTTGGGTTAGTTTGGGCTAGCTTTGCTGATGACTTCAAGCTCTGTAGGATTGTTGAGAGGCAGGAGGACTGCAGAGGGCTTCAGGGTGACATGGATAGGGTGATGGACTGGTTCAACAACAACAGAATGTCCCTAAATGTTAATAAGTGTTCTGTTGTCAGCTTTACGAGACGAACAAACCCAATAGAAGAAACATACAAGATTGGTGATACTGAGCTTGATCGTCAAACAGAGGTGAAGGATTTGGGTGTCTTTTTCCAGGCCAACATGAAGTTCAATAAGCATTTTCATCATGCTGTCAATAAAGCAGTAAAAGCACTTGGCTTTGTAATCAGGAATAGTAAGAACTTTAAAATAAGTACAATTATTAACTTGTATAATGCTCTGGTGAGACCACACCTTGAATATGCATCACACATTTGGATGCCATTGGAAGCCACGCATATTGATGAAATTGAAAAAGTGCAGAAGAGATTTTTGCGGTATCTCTATGTGGTTAAAAATAATATTTACCCATATATGGTTCCTTACAGGGATATGCTTGTTAGTTTTGAGATAAAGTCATTAGTGGAAAGAAGGAATAATCAGGCTGTGATATTTTTGTTTTATATTTTAAACAACCTAAAGTATAAGGATTGTAATTTAATTAACTATGTCTCCTTAATTGTACAAAAGATTAACTTAAGAATTATGAAAAACAAGAAATACTTTGGTACTGATCCTAGTACATAATAATATGTCACCATTTAATCGCATGATGACAGTTGCGAACCAAGCACTTAATGAGGTCCAGGTAGATCTTTTTAATGTAACTTTCAATCAATTGAAGGCCCTTTTAAATTAGTCATATATGTTTATATTGTGTACTCTATCTTTATTTTTGTGTTTTACACTTCGCTGTTTTAACTTTACATGTAATTACTATTTTTGGTGTTTGTAAAGTAATGAAATAAATAAATAAATAAATAAATAGTTTACATATTTTTGTTTAATTTGATCACGGTTCGTTTAATACTGGCTAAAAGCATACTGCTTGGCAATAGGAGGCGCTTGGTTTTTTAAATTTAATATTGACATACAAGGACTAAACCGCATTTCGTGGACGGGTTAGTTTGCATATTTTTGGTTAGTTTCGTTACAGTTCATTTAATACTGATTAGAAGTGTACTGGTTGCCAATAATATTTTGACCTGCACCCTTTTGTCCGCTCGCCTTTGAGCTGCGCTCTTTTGTACCAACGCCGAATTTACGGTTCCGCGAATCTTCTCTTTGAGATTCGGTGAGCGAAGCAAGCAATCGGAGATTCAAAATAATTGAAATTTCGAGCTGTTGGATTTTAAAAAGGTTTTTCACGTTTTTGGTAGATTTACGTTTCCGAGGCATATAAGTACATTTATTAACAATTTTCCATTCGAACCATTTTCCATTCGAACAATTTTCCTTTTGAACAATTTTTCCTTCGAACAATTTTCCTTTCAAACAATTTTCTGTTTGAACAATTTTCCTTTCGAAAAATTTTCTTTTCGAATAATTTTCCGTTCAAACAATTTTCCTTTCAAAGAATTTTCCGTTCGAACAATTATTTTCGAACAATTTTCCGGGACTCAATTTTTACATCTACTTAATCACATTATATGCATTATGGTTAAGGTAAATTTTACTTTATTGTGACTTACATAAGTACTTGAAGTAGTTATGTAAATTTCTACCTTAAATTTATGTTCCTACACCATTTCCAAATCCAAGCGGCAGTAAATGACATTAAATAACCTAAATTTTAAACAAACACCAGCCTTCCTATTGGTTGAAACCTCGGTTGAAACACCCTACCTGGACCAGTACGCATGCAGGGAGGACATTTAATAGCTTGTAATGATTATACAACTCACTGTACATTATTCTTATATGACACTAGAGGCTTAACAAGTGATAAGCCTTTTGGGATTATCGCGCTTGGTGGCAATATTGTTCATTTGGCATTAACAATAGTGAAAATTAATAAAGTATTGAAGTTTAGTTCGTTGTATAACCTTCTGAATACCACTCGATGTTTCAAGATTACCTAATACTTTTACCTGACACTTAACGCGTTACCAGCAACACCACTCCTCCTTCGGAGTCGTGGTGTTGCTGCGTAACGCGTTTCGTGACCGTTAAAAGTATTATCCGGTAATCCTAAAACCTCTTGTGGTATTACATTCGAAAATGACCAGTTATGTCATTACTGCTGCTTGGATTTGGTTCAACTATAGCTGTGGTTACTGAGCACTAAATATATGTTGACATATTCTTATGAATACGTTGACATGAAATTCAAAAATCATAATTACCTATTAATAAATAAACACTATCCCCACTAGCAGAAACATCATTAAAATCGTGACAAGTAGGATTGGTACCCTTATAAATCTTCTTCTCCAATGGCTTATTCAAGTCGGCAGCCTTCTTGATACCTTTATAAACGTACACGTAAAGTTCTCTGCCGTGATTAAAACAAATCCGATCACCCTGATCCCCAAGACTGACCAGAGAAACATTCACTTGGGGCGGTGTTTGTCCCTGAGGCTGGTACGTCACCCTATTCGGTCTGGAATATTCGCTGAGCGTCATAAGCCTGTAAATTCCCTCTCTAGTCACGAAACTTGTCTTAACATCCCCTGGTTCTCCTAGGGGCCGTTCCAGAGGCCTTTCTCCAGCCTCCAACAGCGACTGGTTGCACACGGTGTCTGCCCTTGCCATGTTAGATCCGTGATGGAACTGACAGGACAGCATCCTATCGGTACATGACTTGTTGGACTTCCTATCTATCCCATGGTAATTGTTTTTGGGGGCCTTAAAATTATGCTTTTTTTAAAAAAATATACTGTTTTCTGTGTTTGATTTTCTACTTGACATTTGTGTGTGTTTAAGGTTTGAGGTTAGGTGGGTTTTTTTTTGCAGTGTGGCCAAATGTGGCGTTAGGCGCTTACGTTCTTAGTCGAAAATAACGCTGGGAACAGCTTGTTCACTCCGTACAATAGCTGGGTTCGGCTATTCAGCGCGGAGTTGGAGTGGAGTGAACAGAGCTAATGGAGTCACCCCTAATACGGTAAAAAGCTATACCCGAAACTTAACCCGAACGGCTGGAGTGCGAATGGAGTCACTCGGAGTGAGCAAGCCGAACCCACCTGATATAAGCCGTTTTCTCGCGATGGAACTGGTTGAACCCGGTTCAATTCGTTTCGAAACTGTACATTCTCGCGTTGAACCAGTGACGTCACATTGAACCTGGTTCAAAAAAGTTCGAACCGGACTCATGGCATGTTCCAAAAATAGACGCATGCGCTGTCGGTTTTGTTTGTTGTTGTTCGGTTGGATTTCTTCTTTTGTTTGAGAGTTTGAGGTTATAGTTGGTTGTTACCGTTGTCGGTTTAGTTTGAAATCTAACACTACTCAAATAATGTTAGTTATTTATGTATCAAGGGTACTAAATAGAGGATTATGCCCTGAGGGCGACAGTCTTACAAAGCCGAGGGCCTCTGGCCCGAGGGTTCGTAAGTCGCCCGAGGGTATATATCTATTAGTACCCGTGGTGCATACAAACTTTTATGTCATACCAGTTGGTTTTGAATAAAAAATATATATTTTCGTAAATAAAGAATAAGTTAATCGAAAACTGTTTTTTGCGTCTTATTGCCGCGCGGGCCAGAATGTTTACTTTATGCCCGCGCGGGCCATAATGTGCACTTTATGCCCGCACGGGCATAAAGTAATGAATTATGTAGATGGTATCTAAGGTATAAAAACACAATAATGTACTGGTATGACATAAATGGTATTTATTAGTAATTAATAATTTCATCTAATACAACATATATGCACTTGTGGACTGCTGACAAAGCCACATTAAATTTATGAGAAACCGACAAAAGAGTTTCTCCTTTTCCAAGCCACCACAAAGTCATCATGAGTTTTTTTCTGGGGATATTGGCATTTCTCCTCCTACATATGGAATACTTAATCCCTGGTGAATTTGTTGCAATAAGCTATTAAAGGCAGCTCTGTGCACTCGGAAAAGCTGAATGAAATCGTACTCCAAGTACTCAGGGAGCCAATTTTGGCAATATGCATACGGTCGTATATGATGCTCGAAGGGGTCCAGGGATGCATAATTCAATAAATAAGCATCTTCTCTATTTATCCATTGCAGTAGAAATTGTTGTGCCAACGATGGTCTATTAATTAAAATTGTTAATGTCCATGATTCTTACTATGATAAGGGAACTAGTTCCTTTACTTTGGACAAAATCAAAAATAATATATTATTCAAAAAGAGATCACAGTCACTGAATACTCTACCCGTCCCGCCAAACTGAAAAAAAGTAGGGTTAGGCCATCATTCCTTTCCTTCGTTGACGTAAGGTTGTGGTTCAAACCTCTCATTTTCTCGCGTTGACACGTAATGACGTCATCTAGAAATTGGTTTAAACCGCGGTTCGAACCGTGTTCGAACCATTCGCCCCGCGAGAAAACGACTATAGTTTCAATTATTCGGATATGGGTTTTTAATGTAAATAGAGTCGATTAAATAGAGCTGACTCTAGAAATTCCACCTCGAGAAACGAACTATTAGGAGTAAATAAATGAATTCGAAGCGATTTAACGCCAGTTCATTAAAATACACCACCAAAGCGCCATAGGAGTAAAAAGTTGTGGGAGCTTCAAACATCGGCTATTAGGCTATACAAAGGCCAGTTTTTATATTTATTTTAACAATAAAAATTAATAAAACAAAACTACTAACTACACTTGCTCAATACACCTGTTTTGCCAACAATGCCGCTCTAAGGGCAAAATTTATAGTAGCTTCTTGAGATTTTCTCAGACCTTAAGTGGGTATCCACACCAATGTAGCATGCGACGTTCGACTTGCTACTAAAAAAGGTGGGTTCGGCTTGCTCACTCCGTGTACTCCGAGTGACTTCATTCGATTTCCAGCCATTCGGGTTAAGGTTCGGGTATTGCTTTTTACCGTATTAGGGGTGACTCCATTAGCTCTGTTCACTCCACTCCAACTCCGCGCCGAATAGCCGAACCCAGCTCAAGTAGGAAGCACGCACACTATCTAAGGGCGGGTATTATAAAACTGCTTTGACAGTTAACTTGAAGTTAACTTTTTGAATTACATGTAATTCTAGAGGTTAACTTTAAGTTAAATCTCAAAGTAGTTTTATAATACCCGCCCTAAATATACGACGCATGTTGCCACGTCGTATTTTTGCGACGCTACTCCGGTGTGAAACCTACCATATAGTTCTAAAGGTTGCAGCATGTGTCCATTCTAAACTCACGACCTCCAAGGAAGACTCAAGGAACGACTATAAGGGCGGGTATTATAAAACTGCTTTGACAGTTAACTTGAAGTTAACTTTTTGAATTACATGTAATTCCAGAAGTTAACTTTAAGTTAACTCTCAAAGTAGTTTTATAATACCCGCCCTAAATTTGGCCCTAAAGCCTAAAGGTCTCGCCGCCAAATTCTTGCTAATTTAAAATAGGAATCTAGAAGTAAACCCCGCCATATTCTTGCTTATTTCCAATGTAAATATATGGGATTCAAAAGAACCAATCAAAAATAGGGCGGCAATAGTCGTTACTATAGTTTATTGAGTCACTGTAAAGCGCCACTTGTGGGCGCCTGGCGCATTTTCCAAAATTCAAGGCGCCATTTCAATTTTGGAAGCGCCGCTTTGGCTCAAATGCGCCACACCTGGCAACACTAGGAGTGAGATGAGAAGAACGTGCAAATATACCCGAATAAAGTCTAGTACTCATAACTACGAAATTCGCATTTTTTGACATTGCTTCGACAATTTGACAGATTATGCGTGAATCAAACGTCAAATTGTCGAAGAAATGTTAAAAAAATGCGAATTTCGCAGTTATGAGTACTAGGCTTTACTCGAAACTTTTGGATTCAATCATTCAGGGCGCGTTCTTTTATTCAGCAATAGATCCATCTGCTGCCAGCATTATGAAACAGACATTCCAATTTTCTATGAGCTAGACAAAGAAAGGCTGATTGCCGATGGATCCACCGCTGAATAAAAGAAAGCGCCCACATTCTCACGATAAACCCATGACGTCACGTCAAAATTGGTTCAAACCGTTTCGAAATACAATCCAATCCACGTTTTCAACTGCTGGATTCTATTTTACGAGTCGAGTCAAAATTCGTATCGAATTGTTAAAATAGCGATTCTATTTTCGATACGTATTACACGGTACGTCCGAAGCTGTCGTATTCGATATCGAGTGTCATAACAACCAATTCGATTCGACTCGTAAAATAGAATCCGGCAGCAAACCATTTTCTCGCGCCGAGAAATTGACGTCATGGTGACATTACTTTAAGCCTGTTTGAAAAATGTTTTGAAACATTTGAGACGAGAGAAAACGCCTTTGGAGTGGACAGAGTAGGGATGCGCACGATGTATCGATGTTTCAAAAACATCGATTTTCTTATATCGATATTTTTTTGCGATGTTTTTTCGATGTTTTCTTCTAAATACAACACCAGCCTAAGGTGCTTTCCAGTGACCCACTTGAGTTACTCTTGAGCTACTCAGGGGTGCTCCGCAATAACTTTGCGCGTTCCAGTGCTTAGAGTTACGTATAATTGAACCATTCATTTGTGTTATCCCCTGCCCCCTCGTGCACCTTCCTTTATTTCCGTGCTTCATGCTACAAAAGTCCAAAATGGTGGGGTTTTAGAAAATTGAGGTTATTTTGATTCAGTTATGGCGGTTTCTTATCTTCGCACACGAGAGCGTTCCAGTGCTGCTTATGTAGAACAGTTCAAGAGCGTCACACTCCAGAGCCGCTTTCCAGTATGGGAGTGTGACGCTCGGAGCTATTCGGAGCGTTGAGCTCCCGAGCTGGTACGTATGCGTCAACCTGTCAGCTGTCACATCTGTGGGTGACTATTTAGGCTGGGTTCCGTTGCCAACCTTGGTTACGGTTACACCACAGCGTTACACGTTCTGTAATGTCTGATTCCTGAAAAACCGGTCTATGCGGAACGCGGTTGGTTATGTCAAACATGTCACCAAGGCTACCGGCGGTAATTCTGCGATTGGAAAAGCGTTCCGTATGAAACCAAAATTATCAGCAAGCACTTGTCAGTCGTTGTCAACCGATGTCAACCGACGATTTACCGACCGGTTAACTAGACAACGGAACCCACCCTTACATTCACTTCTAACTTCAAGTTAAATTTGTCGTTCGATTTATTTTATCAATACACTCATTTATAAGTGGTATTCCTGTCACACCTAGGAGGAGCTCCGGAACGGCTCCGGGGCTTCACGCGCTTATTCCATTCGAAAAGTGTTTGTTGCACCACGCATCCGTTCCCTGCAAATCGGGGGCTACTGAACACCGAAGCGAGTAGCTCGAGCGTTTCAAACTCTTGAAAGGAATACAACTATTGCCGCTTTCCAGCTGTGTACTTCAAGCACGGTGCAGCACAGTGTTCTGTCGTTCTGTGTTTGAAACGCAAAAGTTAGCAGCTCTCGAAGTGCAGTACGGCTCTGGAGTACAAACACGCGCTAGAAGCATTTGCGCGCGCAAATGCTCGATTGCGTGCTCAAAATGGTCAGCTGGAAAGCGGCTGTACATTGCAGAACAAAAACTTCAAGTCAAAACGTCAGAATTTTATAAAAATCATGATGGATAATCTATAAATTTGACATTTTACAAATTTCTGCTTGGCCTTGGCAAACAGCTATGGCAAACAGTTCGCCCAAATTTGAAGTGCACTTCGAAGTGAACTTCAAATTTATTTCAATGTAAATGGATCTATGCTGCCGACATATGGGCAAGCACGTCAATTTCAAGACAAATTGGACTTTGAAGTGAATGTGAATGCACCATTAGAGCAGCGTCAGCTGTTTAAAGGTTTAAACATCCTACATCAAGGCGAGAAACGCCATGCTGCTTACGTCCAAACTGGTTGTTTGAAAACGGGGGGTTAGGGGGGGATTTTTTACACACTGGCCTTATGAGGATAGGCCATCCTGTAGTAGTAGTGTGTATCATCCTTGCAAGTCGTGAGCATTGAAAGTGGAACACCTGACTGACAGGTCTTGTCATTTTATTGCATTTTTCGCTATTTTGGGTAATCACAAGGTTGTTTAAGGGCCGGGTTCTCAATAGCAAGTCACCTCGTCAGTGATGTGCCTGTAGACAATGTCAACGTAAACAATTGATTGTCTACGCGTAGACAATTCGAATTGTTTACGTGAGCATTTGTCTCCTCGTTGGTTGGTTTGTTTTAACTCCAAAGTAAGCGTGTCCAGTTGCCATGTTCACCGACCGGATGCTTACTTGAAACCGCCCTGGGCCCGGATTCTCGTCCCAAGGGAGTAGAGCTCCCCGAGAAAACGAGTTTTTTGTCCTTGTCAACGTAATCGAAAAGTGAACAAGGATGATAAAGACCAAAAATTTGTTCTCTCGGAGAGCTCTCCTCTCCCTGAGACGAGAATCGGGCCCCTGAGAGAGGAAGGTTGCCTGATAACTTTATGACGTCATCTAGGGTGCCTCAATATAATGCAAATCTCCATGACACCCCAGACTCCAGACGCGTCATCAAAGGTGGGTTCGGCTTGCTCACTCCGTGCACTCCGAGTGACTCTTTTCGCACTCTAGCCGTTCGCGACGTTCGCGTATTGCTTTTTGGCGCATACGCATACGAGTAACTTTCAAAGTATTTTTTTTTTACCAATAGTTTTTTGATATTCTTGGCTAATTTATTAATGTTAAATAAATAATTTGTGAATATTGTTATAATTAATAAAATAGTGAGATTCAAAGTATGAAAATAACTAAATTCACAAAGCATTAATGTTCGAGTTTTTTTTTAAGAGTTCCTAATCGTTCGGGGTATACTACTCTTTTTACTCTAAGAACACTGCTCTGACTCGATTTTGAAATTTTGATATTCCAGATCCAGATAGAGAATGACAAAAAAATGTTTAGGTTATATTTGTGCTTTTACTCATCCTGAAAATATTTCTTTATTAATTAGAAATTTAATTAAATATCCATATCACATGGCAGCTCAAAGTGTTCAAACTATATCCGAAGACCTACTGAAGGCCACCGATATGGAAAAATGCTACGAAAATTACATCCTGATCGACGTCGGGGCCAATTTGACCAACAAAAAATACAGCAGGGACCTGGACACTGTAGTACAAAGGGCAAAAGATTCAGGTAATCAATTTTAACTTTGCCTCAATTTCAAATTAGAATTTGAATACTTTACAATAACAATTTCAGGTGTTCAAAAAATTATGGTCACAGGAACATCAGTGAAAGGCAGTAAAGAAGCCTTAAGACTAACCAGAATTTATCCAGGAACTTTGTATTCAACAGCAGGTATTCATCCTCATGACGCCAAATCCTATGATGAAGAATCCTGGGAGGAATTACGCAGACTGGTAGAAAATCCTGAATGCGTAGCTGTCGGTGAATGTGGTTTAGATTACAACAGAAATTTTTCAGATCCTGAGGATCAGAAAGCTGTTTTTGAAAAACATGTAAGGTATTGTATCATATTGTGATTAGCTATAATACAAGTGTTTGTTTTTAGATTAAACTAGCAATAGAGCACAATAAGCCTTTATTTGTCCACGAAAGAGATGCTTTTAATGAGCTCAACGAAATTTTAGATAAGTACACTAACAGGTTGCCTCCAGTTGTTATTCATTGTTTTACTGGAAGTATTGAAAATGCCCTTGCATACTTGAATAAAGGCTATTATATAGGATTAACAGGTAATTTTTAAATATATCTACAATAACTAATAATTATTAATAATTATTGTTGTAGGTTACCTATGCAAAGATAAGTCTGACACAGGTGTAAGAAAACTTCTAGTAGACAATTTAATACCTCTAGATAAATTATTAGTTGAAACTGATGCTCCTTTTATGTATCCCAACACAAGAGCCTCTAAATTACCGGCGCATGTTAAAGAAGGCCTTACTGAAAGGTCTATGACGTTTTTGCACCGTTACTGTACTTTTCAACGAAACGAACCGTGTTGTTTGCCAGCCATTGTCGAAATGATTGCGGCTTTCATGAACAAAAAACCAGAAGAAGTTGCATTGGCTACTTCGTTTAATGCCATGAAGCTTTTTGGATTGTCCTAATTTATTATTGTGATTTTTGCAGCTTTTACAATTTATTATTATATTGTTCCTACATATTATGGCGCTAAGTTATGTTTAGGCAGAATCGAAATATTTTCATTAAAAAATGTTATTTATTTAATTGTTTTAAATAGTGTAGGTGTATTCTAAAAATTGTATGTGTATCCTTGCCTTTTTTATGTAGTTGTGCTAAAATTAAACAGAACTCTATTTTTATAGATATATTTATTTTTGTTTAAAATATTATAAATGTATATTTGATTTTTATATAAATCAATGTGCCTTAAAATATCGTGTTATATCCCTTGGTAAGGGAAAATAAAAGTGAATAAAAATATATCTATTTTAAATTTATAGTGTTTCTAATTTACTTCCAATAAGAGAAATTAAAATTTACATGAGCTGTTTTCCAAAAATGTTATTTTAGGGTTGGCATAGTTGACTGGTGAATAAATAATTCAATTGTAAAGAACTTAATTAGCTTTAAAATTAACGGAGCTATGAGGCAAAAACTGTCTCAGTGTCATTTTTGGAAAATTTTCAATGTTTGGTATCTTCAATTTTGAAGCTTATCAGCCCTAATACTTTTGAAACCAAATTGAAATCTCAACTATAATAGGTTTGTAGAGAATTTAATTAGCTTCAATTTATTTTAACCTCGCCTTATATCTTGATTTTAGAATCGGTGTGTCTCATGCAGAAGAAGTACTCCTCTAATATTCATGCTCCCTCCTTGGTCAATACCAGAAGTTCACATGTAATTGATCTACCAATTCCCACATCCTCGCTAACTCAAAAATCTATTCACTATAGGAGTAAGAAAATGTTTAATCACCTCATAGCATAAGAACAATAAAGGAGAGTAGATGTTTCAAGAAACAAGTCAAAAAATTACTTTTGGATAAGGGTTTTTACTCTGTAGAGGAATACTTCTCATCTCCTCTGTTTAATGGTCAATAATTTTAAGTTTGTTTTTAATTTTAATGTTGAGCAGTCTTTCGATCTATTTTATCCAGTTGTTTTTATTCCTATTTTATTCCTGTTTATTATCTTTATTTTTACGTACCTACTTTGTTGGTGATTTTAATTTTAATTATATTATATTTGGAAGCTTTGTTATCAAGATTTGTATCTTTAAACAATAAAGCATATTTTGATTTGATTTGAATTAGAGCCTAATGCGTTGAAATCGGAGATAAAGGAGCTACGAGACAAAAACTGTCTCAATGTCGTTTTTGGCAAATTTTCAATGTTGGATAAATTCAGTTTTGAAGCCTCTCCTCAGGTGTAAAACTGTTGAAACCAAATTGAAATCCTAACTAATAGGTTCGTAGGGGGTTTAATTAACTTTAATAAGAACTTAAATACATTGAAATTGAATAAAAATTACCAGAGCTGTGAGGCAAAAACTGTCTCAGTGTCATTTTTGGAAAATTTTCAATGTTTGGTAATTTCAATTTTGAAGCTTATCAGCCCTAATACTGTTGAAACCAAATTGAAATCTCAACTATAATAGGTTTGTAGAGAATTTAATTGGCTTCAATTAGAGCCTAATGCGTTGAAATCGAAGGTAAAGGAGATACGAGCCAAAAACTGACTCAATGCCGTTTTTGGCAAATTTTCAATGTTGGATACATTCAGTTTTGAAGCCTCTCCTCAGGTGTAAAATTGTTGAAACCAAATTGAAATCCTAAATAATAGGGTTGTAGAGGGTTTAATTAACTTCAATGAGAACTTAAATTCATTAAAATTGGATGAAAATTATCAGAGCTGTGAGGCAAAAACTGGCTCAGTGTCATTTTTGAAAAATTTTCAATGTTTGGTAATTTCAATTTTGAATTCTCAATCAACTGCAAAACTGTTGAAACCAAATTAAAATCTCAACTATAATAGGTTTGTAGAGAATTTAATTGGCTTCAAGTAGAACCTAATTGCGTTAAAATCGGATGAAAATTAACGGAGCTGTGAAGCAAAAACTGTCTCAATGTTGTTTTTGGCAAATTGTCAATGTTCAATAATTTCAATTTTGAAGCTTCTTAACTGCAAAACTGTTGAAACTAAATTCAAATCTTAATTGATAGGTCTATAGAGAATTTCATTGGCTTCAATTAGAGCTTAATTACATTGAAATCGGATGGAAATTAACGGAGCTGTGAGGCAGAAACTGTCTCAGTGTCATTTTCTTGATAAGGTTATTCAAAGTTCAAACACTTTAAATATTATGTTTTTCCCAGTTAAAACTTCAGGAAATCTATATTTGTTTTAAAACGCAGTTACATTTCTGGAAATTATACGTATTTTGGTGTATAAATAAACCAAATAGTTCTTTGTCAAATATAGGAATTTTGGCAATGCTTCAATTAGGTATAAACACGTAAATGACCTGGAATTTAATGAGAAATTCAAGGGTTTCCCTAAAATTATTCTCTTTCTCGTCTAATCTAATTGTACTAAAAACAAATTAATGGAAATTGTGTTTTAGATTTTGAAAACACACCACCTTGAACTTTAGAACTTTATACGTATTAAAATGTTTATCAATCATCACCAGATTCTAGTTTTCTAAATTCGAGAATTTCTAAATTGTTTTTAGTAAATATTAACAATAAAATCCTTTGTTTAATATGTATTTGAGTTGAATTAACAATAAAATAAGAGACATTTTGATATTTTCTTTATATATTTTTCCTCATCTAAGCCTCAATTAATAATAAATAAACAATAAACCATTATTTAAACAAATTTAATGATATATTAATAACAAAAACATGAATCAGCTGATCGATAAATTTCAAATAACAGCATGTCAGCCTACGTCAGCGTTGCCAACTCACCTCGTAAAAACTAAAAATCCCCAATGAAAAAACTCAAATTACTCAATAAATAATCAGTGAAAATTGTTCTAATTATTATTATAAAATTTAAAATAATTATTTACATCGTTTGCAATCAATTTCCCGAATAAAAATGTCCAATTTCCAAATTTGAGAATTTTTCTGGAAAATTCGATGGTGGGAGAAGGCCAGTCTATAAAACCAATCGACCAGCAAATTCCGCCATTATTCAAACGAGAGAAGTTGAAGCATAAACAGCTCCAGACGACAATTTTGTGATTTTTCCAAAAAAAAAAAGTGATATTTTGTGCAGCCCCAATAATAAACAAATCAGGTAAGAGCATTTTTTAAATCGAGTAGCTCCGTTACTAGGGTATCATTGTCATTTTCATTGTTTCAAACAAGTAAAAAAATTAGTTCCAGTGTTCTAGTACTAACGAATCAGACACAAAATATTCATAAAATAATAATAGGGAAAAAGGGATTCAACAACATGTAAGATGATTTTTTTTTTAAAATTAAAATGGTGCAATAGTGCAATCCTTTGTTCTAGAATCAACAAAATGGCGTCTAATGGGCGAGGCAAAAATTATTGACTTGTCTGGGACAAAGGGTTTTCATTAGTCATAGGCGCTTTCTTTGTTTCATCCATCTTTATTCGATTTTCTTTAAACTAAACGAAGATAGATTGGTTGAATTTGTGAAAAAAAAAAGAATGCGTCACAGATTTTTCTCTTTGTTGTATATTTGCTCTTTTGCAGTTGCATTTTATCCAAATTTGAGCTTCCCCTTTGCTTCTAAAGCTTTTTCGGAAACGCTAATCGGATTACCCAGCTCATGTGCTTTGTCTTTTTTCAATTGTGTTCATTAAAAAAGGATAAATAATAAAACAGCTGGTGATCAGATCAGCATTTCCAAAAAGATCTTTTCTTTTGTTCTAGTTTAGGTAGGGGGGAGGGTGTATTAGGCAATAGGGTACTTGCATGGAAAATTAAATTGATTATTGTTTATTGCAAACTGTAGGAAATCGAAAAAAAATCGTTACTTTTTTTTCATTTCGCCCAAATATGATTATTTCGGAAGTTATACAAATATTAAGTTTTGTATATATAGATATACTGAGCATGTGCGACGTCATAAAGTATTATACCTGATGACGTCATAGGCATATTTCATAGCGTTGTATCTCCGTCAATTTTTGACTAAGAAGAAAAAGAAAAAACAGGTGTTGACTTATTTTTCATGGACTATCGAAATCAGCAATAAAAAAAATTGATGCAAGGGGCCTATTCAATCCATCTGTCAAAAAGGAAAATTCAATGTGAGGTGGCGGCCAAGCAAGTTTGTTTTGAATATGTTTTTATGCGTATTCTAAATTATTTTGCATACAGTTTTGCTTACAACTTTGATTTTCATTATTTAATAAAGTATTTGTTGACTAGGTACCTGAACTATTAATTCGGACAGAAAAAGATATTTTTTTGTGTTTTTTGGCCCATGTCTGGCCGCCACGCCATCTTGAATGTCACGTGGTTTGAATTGCCTAATTATAAAACTAATTTGACTAAAAGTTCCTCTTGAGATATGTCATCTTTCCTGAAGTTACCTTTGAAGTTATTTGACAATAGCATATTGTAGACCTAGGCAGTAAAGTGACATTTTTCCAGGCTGAAAGAAGAAATGTACGGGCGAGCTTCAGCGAGCGGACACTTCTTGAAGCCTGGAAAACTCACTTGACTGGCATGGTTTACACTTTATTTTTCTTCCAACACCACATAACTGGTAGGCAACACTTGCCGCAACAGCATTGCCCATACTTACTCACTCCAAAAAGCAAAAAAAAAAAACAAAAATAGATTATACATGATTATACTTATTACATTTTTGTGAAACATCTGATAAATACGCCAAAATCACGTTCTCACTGTACTTTTTAACATTTTTAAGGCTACACCAATCCATAAATAACTTATAATGAAGTTGGTATTTGGCTCTTGATTTTTCTGGCAGCAAATTGATCGAAACTTTGTTTGCTTTGTCGTAAAATTCAGGTGGGGTACAAGATTCCATTTCCTCTTCATTAGGGTCCATCACAAATTCCATGATTGATTAATTTATTATAGATTCAATTGATTTCAATATTCAAAATATTCAAAATTAAAATTTTACTTTTATAGGGGGTTTTTTGACAATTATTCGCGAAATGCCGATACCGGTACCTAGATGGCACTACATCACGGCCATTTTGTCAACTTTTTAAAGAAATCTATATTGGATGATAATTTTATATTGGAAAATTTAATTCATAAACAACCTCTAATACTAAATTTTTTTTTATAAGGTAGATGTATTATAAAACCGTCACAGCTTTTTTTAAATTGAAATTCAATCAAAATCACGAAAATTATTTAAAATTTAAATAATTTAAAATTTAAATTTATTATTGTAGCATCATCTATTAGAAAAAGTAAAAAATAATTTTCTTGCCTAGCCATTTTTGAGTGTTTTGCCAGGCTAGTCTTGGAAACACGAAACACCTACATTCTCATCCTTAGGGAGGCAGTAAAATTCAATTTTTTCATAGTGTTGGAAGATAATAGCTATTTATACAATAAGTTACGAAATGAGCGTCTTTTAGGCATGCGACGTGAAAATTGTCCAACAAGGCAAAGCCGAGTTGGACAACACGTCGAGTGACTAAAAGACATCGTTTCGTAAAGTATTGTAATGGCATTTTATAATAAAAAAACACAATTTTATTTCATGTGAATAAGTCGATTACACCCAAAATCTTTGTTACCTGTTTCTACTTGACACCTGACACTTTTCATGCGATTTTCATATATTATATCACAAGACCTTTAAATTTAATCGATTAAACTATGCAACATATTTTGAGCATGATTTTGCTTGGAAAATAGTTGAATGCACAATAACTTAATAAAAGCCCGAGACCGCGAAGCGGTCGAGGGCTTTTATTTAAAAGTTATTGTGCATGAAACTATTTGCCAAAAAGCAAAATTATGCAAAAAATATTTGGATAGTTTAATCCATTTAAATTTATAGGTCGAGTGGTATACGGCTAGATTATTTCCTGAATAATTAGGATTGAATTATTGGCGTCAATCCTATCCAAAGAGTTCTATTTATTATAAAATGTCAGAATATTTCTATCAAAATTCTGTCAAAAAAGGTAAACAAAAATTTAATCGCTGATAAACAAGGTCTTGTGAAATAATCACTTATTTAAACAAAATTCATTCAAAAAATGATGTTGTCTGATGGGTCTATTTTATAATGAATGAAATAATCTTTTCAAAATTTGACATCAATAATTAAAATCCTAGAAAGTAGGTAATAACACAAAGTTCTGTTTTGAGTAATCCAAACGTTCAATTCAGTAATTCCATTTTCAATATTCATAATAAATACAAAACAAAATTCAAATATGTGTTTAGTGTGTTTTTTATTTCTGAATAATGAATGACACTTTTAGGCACTAGTGCTTAAAAATTACTTTTACGCACTCATAAGTCACTTTTACGCATTCAAAAGTCACTTTTACACACTGAGTGCTTAAAAGTAACTTTCACGCACTCATTGCCTAAAAGAATGTCGTTTCAAAACTGAAATGACAATCGAAAAGTTGCTATTATGAAACGTCAGTAGAAAAATATTTTTTCTACAACTGTCAAAAAATGATGATGTTCGCACACCCATGACAGTTTGCGAGGTGACACTTTTTTTCCCAGGTATTGATTTTTTAACGTTCCCATGACATCAGTGTGCAAACTAGCTATTTCGCACCCTAGTGCGCGAAATAGCTAATTCGCACACTGGTGTCATGTTGACACATATCTGTCAGGAAACCAAAAATAATTAAAATTCATCTACCTTTGATTGAGAATGCAATTTTGGCTTCGAATGATCGATATTTAAATGGAATTGTAGAAAAAATATTGTTTGGCAACTCGGGCGCGAACTACTTTGGTGATTGAGATCTGATTTTTTCAACGTGGCGCAGCCGAGTTAAAAAAATAGTCGAAAGTAGCATTTCGCGCACTAGATACAAAAATAACTATTATAAAACCAGCTGGAAACATGCAATGAGGTGTCCCTGTAGTTTGACATCAGTTTTGCAATGCATGCAAATGGCATTTTGCCACTAATAGCGGCATTGTTTATGTTTCAAAGTTGACAATGTCAAAATCTATCTTGAGAAAAAATAGACTGTAGTTGAATGAAATCCAAACGTCAATATCGTAAACAACTAGTTATTTTCATTACAATTTCTCAAATTAATGTCCTCATGCCCACTGGTCTTGGTAGGGTGTTTCAACCAAAATAAATGGATAAACAATCGTACGGCTTGATTGGCTAAACTTGTGCGAAAATTTGGGGTCAATATTCTAGGAACAGTTGTGCAACGGAACAGCCTAACGCCTGCGCAGTGTCCTATCTTTCGAACAACTCTTCTAAATTTTGAAATTACTTCGTTTTCATTGGCCAGATTTTGTGCATGCACAATACATGGATCTACTGCGCACGCTCACAGCTGTCCCAGTCAGTTGTTTTTGTTTACGTTATGACCTCATAAATTAGCATCATTAAAAGCGTTCTTTGTTCATCCATTTATTTTTGAGATCAGTGGTGTATGGAATTAAAAACCCTGCAAAATGATGTATCACTTTACTTCTCTTTCCATTCAAGATTTTCTAGGGGGTGGCTCTGGGGGTTGGGGGGGTTGAAAGAAGGGAGGTGAATTTTGCATAAAAACTTATCCCCCTTCAAATTATAGTTGATGTGTTTCAGGGATTTTTTCAGAAATTTGTCTACTCCGAGATAATAGGGGTGGGAAATTTTTGAAATTGACACCCTGTATAGCTCTGTTCCAACTGACACTGTTCCAGAATGATAATTTCCAGCCAATCAATTCATTTGTCAAGTAAGATAAACTTTCAACTTACTGAAAAATAGGTGGGCAACTGGAAATAACAGTTCTCATGTCGGTTGGAACATAGCTTAATAATCTTTTATGAATCATATCTATACTCTATTCACAATCCGAAGTCTGAACTAAAAAGGTAAGATTTATCATTTTTCAGTTGGTAACAGACAATAGTTGATTGGGATTTTTTTTTATTACCTGCATAAATTGGTAATTATTATTTTGATATGTCTTTAAATCATGGTTATGACGTTATGCATTTGTTATGGTTTCAAAATAACATGACACATGCATAACCTCATAAAGACATCAAAATGTTTACCAACTTATGCAGGCAATAAAAATAAAATACCTATCAACTACCAACTGATTGTGATAATTCTTAAAATCTGTTTTTTTTTTAAAGATAATTCCCCAAGTCAAAAATCTAGTAACTATGTTGGCAACACAAGCCTTTTCTACCTAAAAAAATTTGAAAGCATTGACAATTTTACATAGTCATAGTATTGCCAACATAATGTCATATTGACTTTTATCTTAAAAAAAACAGACTTTACCTTAAATTTGGACCAAATATTTCATTTAAAAAAAAAGAGTAAATTTTTCCCTTTTAAATTATTTCTTTGCTGTTAAGGATTTTCTTTTAAAATTTCTTGCACTGTTTGTCCCATTTTTGATTTCTATTTCATTAATTGATTTATAGTTGGACCAACTGCTTTATGAAAAAAAAAACATACCCTCTTTGTTTTTTTTTTTTGAAATTGAAATGTTCATTTGAAATTCTTGTAATTAATGTGGATTTTTTCCTTGTTACAGGATGCAGATTTTTGTGAAGACCTTGACAGGCAAAACCATCACCTTGGAGGTTGAACCCTCTGACACCATCGAGAATGTCAAAGCCAAGATCCAGGACAAGGAGGGTATCCCCCCAGACCAGCAACGTCTGATCTTTGCTGGTAAACAACTAGAAGATGGTCGCACCCTTTCTGACTACAACATCCAGAAAGAGTCTACCCTTCATTTGGTGTTGAGATTGAGAGGAGGCATGCAAATCTTTGTCAAGACTTTAACTGGCAAGACCATCACCTTGGAAGTTGAGCCATCTGACACCATTGAAAATGTCAAGGCTAAAATCCAGGACAAGGAAGGTATCCCCCCAGACCAGCAAAGATTGATCTTTGCTGGAAAGCAATTAGAAGATGGTAGAACTTTGTCAGACTACAACATCCAGAAAGAGTCCACCCTTCACTTGGTGTTGAGATTGAGAGGAGGCATGCAAATCTTTGTCAAAACTTTAACTGGCAAGACCATTACCTTAGAAGTTGAGCCTTCTGATACCATTGAAAACGTTAAAGCCAAGATCCAAGACAAGGAAGGCATCCCACCAGACCAGCAAAGGTTGATTTTTGCTGGAAAGCAATTAGAAGATGGCAGGACTTTGTCAGACTACAACATTCAGAAAGAGTCCACCCTTCATTTGGTGTTGAGATTGAGAGGTGGTATGCAAATTTTTGTCAAAACCTTGACTGGCAAGACTATCACATTGGAAGTTGAACCATCTGACACCATTGAAAATGTCAAGGCTAAAATCCAAGACAAGGAAGGTATTCCTCCAGACCAGCAAAGGTTGATCTTTGCTGGAAAGCAATTAGAGGATGGACGCACTTTGTCTGACTACAACATCCAAAAGGAATCCACCCTTCACTTGGTACTGAGGTTGAGAGGTGGTATGCAAATTTTTGTCAAGACCTTGACTGGTAAAACCATCACACTTGAAGTTGAACCATCTGATACCATTGAAAACGTCAAAGCTAAAATCCAAGACAAAGAAGGTATTCCTCCAGACCAACAACGTCTTATCTTTGCTGGCAAGCAACTTGAAGATGGAAGAACTCTTTCTGATTATAACATCCAGAAAGAATCCACCCTTCACTTGGTTCTGAGATTGAGAGGTGGTATGCAAATTTTTGTCAAAACTTTGACTGGCAAGACCATCACCCTTGAAGTAGAACCATCTGACACCATTGAGAATGTCAAAGCTAAAATCCAAGACAAGGAAGGAATCCCTCCAGATCAACAAAGATTGATCTTTGCTGGCAAACAATTGGAAGATGGCAGAACTTTGTCTGACTACAACATCCAAAAGGAATCCACTCTCCACTTGGTACTAAGATTGAGAGGTGGTATGCAAATCTTTGTGAAAACCTTGACTGGAAAAACCATCACCCTTGAAGTTGAACCATCTGATACCATTGAAAATGTAAAAGCCAAAATTCAAGACAAGGAAGGTATCCCTCCAGACCAGCAGAGGTTGATCTTTGCTGGAAAACAACTTGAAGATGGCAGAACTTTGTCAGACTACAACATCCAAAAAGAATCCACCCTTCACTTGGTACTGAGGTTGAGAGGTGGTATGCAGATTTTTGTCAAAACCTTGACTGGAAAAACCATCACCCTTGAAGTGGAACCTTCAGACACCATTGAAAATGTTAAAGCTAAAATCCAAGACAAGGAAGGCATCCCACCAGACCAACAGCGTCTTATTTTTGCTGGCAAACAGCTTGAAGATGGCAGAACCTTATCTGATTACAACATTCAAAAGGAATCCACTCTGCATTTGGTACTCAGACTGAGAGGTGGTATGCAAATCTTTGTAAAAACCTTGACTGGTAAGACCATCACCCTTGAAGTAGAGCCATCCGATACCATTGAAAACGTCAAAGCTAAAATCCAGGACAAAGAAGGTATCCCACCAGACCAGCAACGTCTTATTTTTGCTGGCAAACAACTTGAAGATGGCCGCACCCTCTCAGATTACAACATCCAAAAAGAATCCACCCTTCACTTGGTATTAAGATTGAGAGGTGGCATGCAAATTTTTGTCAAAACTTTAACTGGAAAGACTATCACCCTTGAAGTTGAACCTTCTGACACCATTGAGAATGTCAAGGCCAAAATCCAAGATAAAGAAGGTATCCCACCAGACCAACAACGTCTTATCTTTGCTGGCAAACAACTTGAAGATGGCCGCACCCTCTCAGATTACAACATCCAAAAAGAATCCACCCTCCATTTGGTATTAAGACTGAGAGGTGGTATGCAAATTTTCGTGAAAACCTTAACTGGTAAGACCATCACTCTTGAAGTCGAACCATCTGATACCATTGAGAATGTCAAGGCCAAAATCCAAGACAAAGAAGGAATCCCACCAGATCAACAAAGGTTGATTTTTGCTGGCAAACAACTAGAAGATGGAAGAACTTTGTCAGACTACAACATTCAAAAAGAATCTACTCTCCACTTGGTACTCAGACTTCGTGGTGGAAACTAGGCTTAGCAAATTTGTATTTTCATTTAAAAGGCTGAATTTTCTTATTGTTGATGATTAATAAATGATTTCCTAACTGATAGTTTTTTGCTTTTTATTTTCACAATACCCAAAACCAAAAAAGAAAATAGTATATTTCCTAATTAGTGCGGAAAGTGCTACTTTTCTGCACGCGATTGCAGTTTACGGAGATCGGCAAGCAATCAAGTGAGGAAAAGAGACTTTCCGCGCGAGTTAGGAACACTACTTTTCCTGCAGTATACCTGTTTTTAGTCAAATGATGTAAATCACAACTGGTGATTGAATATTTCATAAGAAATGCACTGCCACTAGTCAACCACCAGTTGTAATTTATTTTAGTTGACTTTACAAAGACTGTACCCTACAAATGTTAGGTATTCTACTTTTCCGGACTCGGTGAGGAAAAGTGGTACTTTCATGACCTGAAATGCTAGAGTGCACTTTTGTGCACGCCCGTAGAAAAACAAAATTTAAATTAAATAAAAAAGCACTTTCATTTTATTAATAATTATTATTATAATAAACAACTTACATTATCAATTGATTTAATAGAAAAAAATAAAGATTTTGTATGAATCACTGCAAGTGATTTTAAAAATATTGTGCGTCAGCCTTTGTCTGGTCTAAAAGTGCCTCATAAATCAACTCCTTATTATCAAATCTGTCTACCCAAGACTCTATAAGCCCCTCAGCAGTAGCCTCGTACTCCTTAACCTTCACACTAGCATTTTCCACATACGTATTGGCTTGCACAAAAATTTTCCTGGGCTGTTTCTTAGCTAAAACGATCGACCTCCAGCTGAGCCAAGGCTCATTGACTTCAGAATATTGATTGTACAATTTTTGAGCGGCTTCCAGATTCCCAGTGGCTTTGTACACTTGAAGCTTTAGCAAAAAACTACCTATAGCGCAACGACCTGCACCTCTAAGTGCTGCACGGTCCATTGAAACTAAAAGATCACCTTCACTTGGTTGAGTGACTTGGACTACTCCTGCTTGGATTAAAACTTTTGCAAGGACATATCTGGCCTAAAAATAATTTTTACAAATTTCTGGATTATAGTGGTAATTATTATTACTTGTGCATGAGCTTGCAACCATCCACGACCAGGCTCCCAAAGTTCCAAACCTCTACCAGCACCTGCCCAAACTAATGACAACCAATTCACATAGGTGACTTCTTCAGCTTGGCTACCTTCGTGTCCAAATATTTTTAATACTTCAGGTTCCAAGCTAAGATATAATCCTACAGCTTCTGCTCTGCATTCTTCATAAGACGAACTAAGAGGACCAAATTGGGTATCGTAAGTGTCGCCAGGTTTGTACCAAGAAGCTATTGGTTCTCCTATAAAAACACTTTGTATAAAATAAACATTGATTAATAAAGATACTTACCAGTAAGAGGATCAATGAGGTTATTAGGAAAATTACTTTGTCCATCTGCTTCTTTGCACAGCAATTTCCCAGAACCGTGTCCCAGGAGTTCGTGAAGGCCCACTTGTAGTTCAAACGCTGGAACTCGCCATTTTTGCAGCAGTTCTGCATCTTCTTGTGTTAAAAATGGAGTAACTGATTGTTGGTAGCTTGCCGGTATTACATTTCCCAGAGACACGTTTTTGAAGCCTTCAGTTTGTCTTATATCATCATCTAAAAAGTGAATTATTTTTACAATATTGTTTTGTTTGCGATTTTGCTAACATACAATTGGGAATGTTAATTCCAGCCGGTATACCGCTCCCAGCAAAAGTCAAAACGTCTAAAGAAGTGAAATCAGGTTTTAAAAAGGTGTCTTTTTCAAAATCCTTGCTCCAGGGCAGTAATTTTAAAAATGTCTCTGCATTTGTGACTAAGGTTGTAAATTTCGAAGTCATTTCTCTATTGACAACAGCAACGAAGCCTTCAAATTCGCCTCGGACACCAGCTGGATCTCTGTAAGTCTCAATAAATCCAATGTAGGTTTCTACAGCTGGAGCTTTGTCTTGAATCCAGAATCTAGAACCTACAAAAATGATAATTTACAATGACCTTAACTGCAATTTTCATTAGGTACCTTTTTTGTGATCATCTAAAGAGCCAGTCTTAAAAGAAGACACATAGCCTTGTAGCATACTTTTTTCAGTATCGTTAGCTGCATATTGTTCAGCATCAACTAAGCTTTTGGCTACTAGGCCCATTAAAGGAGAATAATCTCCATAGGTAATGCTGTAGGTGACGTTGCCATCTTCAAATATTTCCGGATCTTTTTTCTCTTCAGAAGCCATACGAATTTCATATAAAACTTTACCATTTTGTTCAGTCTTAAATAATCTAGTGTTGTAACATTCAATTTTTCTTGATTTCAGCCAATCTTGAACTTTTGTTGTATCTTCAGGAGTGATGTTTTTGGACAGGTAAGTTGTTAGTCCTTGCGGATGGTAGCTACAATAATTCAATTTGTTTGTTTGATTCTCAATGATTATATTATTGTGTACAAGGTTAAGAAAAATTGCCAATATTTTCATTATAATTTAAACGAATGGAAATAAAATATACATTAGTATAAAGAGCATTAAATTCTCTATAAATCTGTGCTAAATTGAGTTCGATAGCTCAAATACTTTTTGAGCAACCTCAGAGTTGGGTTTTAGTCGAAATCTTAAGATATTGAAGCGTAAAGAAGGGTGAACCACCTTAGAATTAAAGTGTACAAGCAGGTGGGGTTCCAGATTCATCATTTTTATATCAGAATGACTCAATAATGAATTAATTGCTGTAAAACTCGCTCCGCTCGTCTTGCAGAGGTTCAAAAATGAGTATAGAACTTAGTTGACGCATGAAATGTACTTCTTACTTATTAGTTCAAAATTTAACTAATCCTCAGGTCAGAATTTTTCTTTTGATTCAGAGGTTTAACTTATTAATTCAAAAATTCATTAATTTTCAGGTTACCACATTTTTATAATTTTTTCATGCAATTTTGATTTGGAGCTTCAAATGAACTTTTCCATATGAAAAAGACTTTGATTCATTAATCCTGAAAGTTTCAAGTCACTGTGATCATTAGAAGTACTTTACGCAAGTGATTTTTGCAGATTTTAATTATTTTTGCATGCATTAACTTGAGAAAAAGCTTCTCAATTTAGTTTGGAGCTTCAACTTAACTTCAAACTAACTTTTCCACAAAGAGGAAAATCATCTAACATTTTATTTTTTTTTCTGGAAAACTATTCAGGGGAAAATTATGTCATTTTGTGGAAAAAAAGAGGAAAGTCAGGGGCGTATCATACAAAAATTTCAAATTTTTCAAATGAAAAATAAACCTATTGGAAATTAATGAAAATCAACTAAATTAGTCATAAATGCACCATTTAATTTTTTTTTTCTGGAAAACTATCCAAAAGAAAATTATGAAATTTTCTGGACAAAACGAGAAAAGTCAGGGGCGTATCATACTAAAATGTTATATTTTTCCAGTGAAAAATAACTCCATTGGAAATTAATTAAAATCAATTAAATTAGACATAAATGCATCGTCTAACATTTTATTTTTTTTCTGGAAAACTATCCAAAGAAAAATTATGAATTTTTCTGGTCAAAACGAGAAAAGTCAGGGGCGTATCATACTAAAATTTCAAATTTTTCCAGTGAAAAATAACCCCATTGGAAATTAATGAAAATCAACTAAATTAGATATAATTGCATTTATGCCTAATTTAGTTGATTTTCATTAATTTCCAATAGGTTTATTTTTCATTTAAAAAATTTGAAATTTTAGTATGATACGCCCCCGATTTTTCTTTTTTTTTTCCAGAAAATTTTATAATTTTCCCGTGGATAGTTTTCCAGAAAAAAAAAATGTTAGATGGTGCATTTATGTCTAATTTAGTTGATTTTCATTAATTTCTAATGGGGTTATTTTTCACTGGAAAAATTTGAAATTTTACTATGATACGCCCTTGACTTTCCTCTTTTTTTCCAGAAAATGTCATAATTTTCCCCTGAATAGTTTTCCAGAAGTAAAATAAAATGTTAGATGGTGCAATTATATCTAATTTAGTTGATTTTCATTAATTTCCAATGGGGTTATTTTTCACTAGAAAAATTTGAAATTTTAGTGTGATGCGCCCCTGACTTTTCTCTTTTTTTCCAGAAAATGTCATAATTTTCCCTTGAATAGTTTTTCAGAAAAAAAAAAAAATGTTAGATGGTGCATTTATGCCTAATTTAGTTGATATTCATTAATTTCCAATGAGGTTATTTTCCACTGGAAAAATTTGAAATTTTATTATGATACGCCCCTGACTCTCTTCTTTTTTTCCAGAAAATGTCATAATTTTCCCTTGAATAGTTTTCCAGAAAAAAAATAAAATGTTAGATGGTGCATTTATGCCTAATTTAGTTGATTTTCATTAATTTCCAATAAGATTATTTTCCATTTGAAAAATTTGACATTTTACTATAATAATGATACGCCCCTGACTTTCCTTTTTTTTCCAGAAAATGTCATAATTTTCTCCTGGACAGTTTTCCAGAAAAAAATAAATAAATGGAAATTAATGAATATCAACTAAATTAGGCATAAAATGCACCATTTAAAATTTTATTTTTTTTCTGGAAAACTATTCAAGGGAAAATCATGACATTTTCTGGAAAAAAGAAGAAAATCAGGGGCGTATCATAGTGAAATTTCAGATTTTTTCAGCGGAAAATAACTCCATTGGAAATTAATGAAAATCAACTAAATTAGATATAAATGCACCATCTAACATTTTTTTTTTCTGGAAAATTGTCCAGGAGTAAATTATGACATTTACTGGAAAAAAAAAGAAAAGTCAGGGGCGTATCATACTATAATTTCAAATTTTTCCAGTGAAAAATAACCCCATTGGAAATTAATGAAAATCAATTAAATTAGACATAAATGCACCATTTAATATTTTATTTTTGTTCTAGAAAACTATCTAAAGGAAAATTATGAAATTTTTTGGACAAAATGAGAAAAGTCAGGGTCGTGTCATACTAAAATTTCAAATTTTTCCAGTGAAAAATAACCCCATTGGAAATAAATGGAAATCAACTAAATTAGACATAAATGCACCATCTAACATTTTATTTTTTTTCTGGAAAACTGTCCAGAAGAAAATTATGACATTTTCTGGAAAAAAAGAGGAAAGTCAGGGGCGTATCATTATTATAGTAAAATTTCAAATTTTTCAAATGGAAAATAACCTTATTGGAAATTAATGAATATCAACTAAATTAGGCATAAATGCACCATCCAACATTTTATTTTTTTTCTGGAAAACTATTCAAGGGAAAATTATGACATTTTCTGGAAAAAAAGAAGAAAATCAGGTGCGTATCATAGAAAAGTTTCAAATTTTTTCAGTGGAAAATAACCCCATTGGAAATTAATGAAAATCAACTAAATTAGGCATAAATGCACCATCCAACATTTTATTTTTCTTCTGGAAAATTATACAGGGGAAAAGTATGACATTTTCTGGAGAAAAAGAGAAAAGTCAGGGGCGCATCACACTAAAATTTCAAATTTTTCCCGTGAAAAACAAGAAAATTAAAAATAATTTTAAAAATTAAATAGGGGTGAGTTCGATAACATCTTTTTTGGTATAAAAAAAGGATCTGCTCAGGAAAATCAATGAAATTGACAATTGACAGTGTAAACCCAGTCACCTAAAAAACACTAAACACTTTTGATAGGTCAACTGTCAAAAAATACATGCTCTATCAATATTGATAATGCATAATTATAGTATTTTAGGCGTACTTTAATAACCTTTGATAGTACAGTTGCGATAAAAAAAAAGTAGTACAAAAATTATTAACCTCAATTTGAGCTCCCGGTGTAACATACAAAATTTTGACGGGCAATGACATATTTTAGGTTAAAAACGGGTGGAAAAATGTCAAAATAATATCATCTGAAGTTTTCTAGGTTAAAACTTGTCGAAAAATATGTCATTTTTGGTTATGAATTAAATTAATGTATAATAGACCAGGAGATTTTGGAAACTTTTCTTGTACTACTTTTATTTATCGCAACTGTACATAGTACATAACCATTTAATTATAGTATAAATACTATAATTATAGTACGGTTGGCAACAATGCAGTAGAAGTACTTGGCATAAGTGATTTTTGCATGCATTAACAGTCGCACCTGGAACAGGGGGGTCAGGCAATGACCCCAGTTTTTCTTTAGCATTACTTGCTCATTTTTACTTTCTCTTCAAAAACCATTTAGGACTTCTATTTTACGTGTTTTTTCAACCCGTAGAGATAAAATTTGTTGGGATTGGTACAATCTTTGACCTTCGCCAGACGTTTTTGTTATGCGTACAGTCATCGGCGAGACACAAGAAGATGGCCGTTGGCGGTTTTTCCAATTTGATTGATATAGTTGCATATAATTCCTACATTTTTTTCATAGAAGCTAATGAAAATTGGGCGAGAGATAATCCAAAACAAAAATCTAGAAAAAAAGTTCTTCTCTTCTATAAAATGCTTAGGCAAGCTGTTGTGTCAAATTGATATGGGTAATCGCTCAAGCTATAGAGGACTTCAAAATAAATATATAGCTACTTTGAAAATTAGTTTTGAATAAAATACTGAATTTTTTCACTATTTTTTTACAAATCACGAATTCGGTGAGCCGCTAACCCCCCTGTTTTAAATTCAAGAAAACCTAGGGTCAGTCGCTAACCCCCCTGTTCCATGTTCTCCGGGTACCCAGTTAGGGTCCCAGTGCGACTGTTAACATAAGAAAAAACTTCCAAATTTAGTTTGGAGCTTTAAATTAACTTTTCCATTTCATCAGAAAGACTTTAATGCATTATTTTTGAAAATTTCAAGTCGCTACTGTGATCATTAACAGTTGTCTGACTATTTTCAACCAATAAAATTCCCTCTGACTGGTTTGTAATGTAATTTGTCTGAGAACAAACCATCATCAAACTCAGGCTCAGAAAAGGGGGTTGAGTTCACTTTTTTATATGTCACTCAGAAATTGATGTGACACACTCTGTACAATATTTACCCTAAATAAGTTTTTCCAGGTCCCAAATCGTAAATGCTGTCTTTAATTTTGTTCCACAACGGTTGGATTTCTAACCAAACTCTACTGACTTCCAGTAACTTCTCCAAACGTTCTTGTTCAATATTGGGGATGATTTTCGTATCTCCAAATCCCTAAATATTGAAAATTTGATACATTTTTTATACAGTATTGACAAAATTTACCTTGTAATTGCCTGCATTAGCAAATACTCCTCCTGCATAAACATAGAGGGCTTTGACTTCTTCATCGGAAAATCCAGCTTTGAGGGCTTTCCCAGTGAAGTCTGTAGCTTTTTCAGAAGCAAACAGCTTATGGAGTAATACAAAAATTGGACCAGATTCTGGACTAGTCTAGAAAAAAAATGTTTTAAAAATTCATATTTGTGTGAGACATGTCATGACGTCTTTTGAATAAAACCCTTAATTTAATATTCAAGTATTATACAACATGGTGGCAGAGGTGCCATCAGACAAGAGCAATCTGTCAGTGCAATAAAAAGCAGTAGTCAAAATTTCAAATCAAAAGCCTTCTGCTTCTTCCAGGAATCGTACAAAAAGATGTGCATTCTGCGGTTTGAGTACATGTGAAGACAGGGCCAAATGTCCAGCAAAATCATCAGTTTGTCGTGCCTGCGCGAAACGGGGACACTGGAGTGTAATGTGCAGAAGTAAAAAGTCAGTACGTGCAGTGGAGCACAGTGATTCTGAATTGAGTTCTGAGGAGCAGGAACAGCAGAATGTTTCACAGGTAACCAAGGATGAAGACGGAGTTGGAAATTTTATCGGTGAAGTATACTTTGATAAACAGGACCGTTGGTATGTAGACATTCTACTTAATAATAAACATAAGATTCCGTTTTTCGTAGACACTGGGGCAGATGTCAGTTGTTTTCCCTATGAGTTGTTACCTGATGAATTCATAAGTAAGTTAATTTTATGTGAGCCTGTGGGGGCAGCTGACAATCATAGGTTAGATACAATGGGTAAAATAAAAGTCAACTTAACATATGAGGGTAAAACGAACCAAGAGACCATTTATGTAGTTAGGAAGTTAAGGCAGCCAATTTTGGGCAGAAATGCTATAATTAGTTTAAAGGTTCTAAATTTTCCTACTAAAAATGTTTGTTTAATTAGCGATTATAATTTTAATTGTAGGAAAAATCAGGACAGTTTGTCTAAATTTACCTTAGAGAGCATTTCTAGACAGTTTCAGGGTATTTTTAGTGAAATAGGGCAATTTAAAAATACAATGTCAATCCAGATTAAGCCAAACGCTAAGCCGTTTGTATAATCTGTACCTCGTACTGTGCCCTTAGCCCTGCTCCCTAAGCTAAAGACAGAATTAGATAGGTTATTGAAACTCAATATTATAGAGCCAATTGAGACTCCAACTACATGAGTTAGTCCAATAGTATGTGTTGATAAAGGCGATACAGTTCGCTTATGTTGTGACTATACCAAGTTGAATGAAAGTGTTCTCCGGTCTCACTTCCCTTTACCCAAAATCGAGCATACTTTGTCCCAACAAGTGGATCAATATACTTTTCAAAACTAGACACAACAAGTGGCTTCTACCAAATCAAGTTAAATGAGGAAAGTCAACTTTTGACTACTTTTATAACACCATATGGCCGTTTTTTTTTTCAAGAGACTTCCGTTTGGATTCTCATGTGCGCCGGAATATTTTGCTTTAAATTTTTCAAAAATTTTGTTAGGATTAGAGGGTGTGGTACGACGTACTCATACATGCCCCTAGCATAGGTGAACATGATGAGATTTTACATAAAGGTTTTGACAAAAATACATGCCGAGGGTGTAACCTTAAATAAAAAAAAAATGTGAGATAGAGGTAAAAAACTATTAAATATTTGGGACACTTAATTTCGGACAGAGAAATTGCTGTTGACCCTGACCGTGTTAAAGTAATACGCGAGTTCCCTCTTCCAAAAAATAAGACAGATTCAATGCGCTTACTGGGTATGATAAATTTTACATTTACAGCAAAATATATCAATAATAAATCTGAGCTTCCAGCACCCTTAACTTCATTACTTAAGAAAGATAATGACTTTCTTTGGGGTCCATCGCAGGATAAAGCATTTAAAACAATCAAAATGCTTTTAGAAAACCCTCCAAATTTAACATTTTTTGATCCAAACAAGATTATTATCGTGAGTGCAGACGCGAGCTCATTTGGGTTGGGTTGCTGCCTTATGCAGGAAAATAAAGATAAATCTCGTGAAATAGTTGCTTTTGGATCAAGATTATTAAGTCAAGCAGAAACACGCTATGCACAGATTGAAAAACAGGCTCTTGCGCAGACCTGGGCAGCAGAGTATTTTTCAGAGTATGTTTCGGGAGTTGAAAATTTAATTAATAATAATTAATAATAATTTTTGAAACAGATCACAAACCTTTGTTACAAATTTTACAAACAAAAAAATTAGATTCTTTAACACCTCGTTTACCGAGATTCAGAATGCGTCTTATGAGATATAAATATACTGTTATTTACACTCCGGGGAAAAACCTAATCATTCCAGATGCTTTGAGTCGTGGTCCCATCCAAATTAAAAATTTAATTGATGAGCTACAAGTGGAAATCGATATTTTTGTAAAAGCAGTTATTAAAAATTTACCTAAAATCTGTTTTTTTTTAAAGATAATTCCCCAAGTCAAAAATTTAGTAACTATGTTGGCAACACAAGCCTTTTCTACATAAAAAAATTTGAAAGCGTTGACAATTTTACATTGTATTGCCAACATAATGTCATTTTGACTTTTATCTTTAAAAAAAAACACACTTTATTAAATCCTATTTTTTGAAATTAATTCAATAAGAACAGGAAAGTGATTTTATATGCAAAAAATTGAAAGAATATCCAATTATGTCTTGGCCAGAAAAATCTAAATTACCAATTGAACTTTTTACTTATTTTCAATTTAGATATGAAATTTCGTTTTCTGAAAACCTACTGCTAAAAGATACGCGTATAATAATTCCTAAAAGTCTACAGCTCAAAGTGCTTGAATTCATTCACACCGGATACTTGGGTATTGTTAAGTGTCGCGAGCGCGCCAAAATGAGTGTATGGTGGTTTGGACTGTCGATTCAAATAAAAAATTTAGTTAAAAATTGCCCGAACTGCATCTAGAACCGACAAAACATAAAAGTAACCTTCTACAAAGATAAAACTGTCAGCAGACCATGGCAAAAAATAGCTGTTGATTTCTTCAAACATGAAAAGTGGTTTATGATAATAGTAGATTATTATTCGCGATATTTTGAAATGTTTGAGTTAAGTAGCTTAACCGAAGAATCTATTATTCCAAAAATGAAAGAAATGTTTTCTAGAATTGGTATCCCAGAGGTAGTGAGATCGGATAACGGAACGCAGTTTTCTCGAAAATTTAAAGAGTAGTAGTAGTAAATGTAATTTTATTAGGCAAATATATATAAATATACATACACACACCCAAAAGGCCATCGACCGAAGTCCTTCAGCCTAAAAAGTAAATTTGCACTTGTTTGGTTCACATTCAAAAGAATTACTGGTTAGAAGAAAAGGAGATTTGGATAAATAGTGTGGATATATAAAAAAAAAGAAAAAAAAAAATATATATATATACATTATAGTTAGCTAAATAAATATGTAAGTAAATAGGTAAGTACACTGTTATTGAGTTCTTGTTATCATTTCCCATAGAGTATTTTCTGGATATTTATAGCGTGAAACTTTTCCAGGAGTTCGAATTTTTATTAATGGTCTTAAAAATTCCAAGTTGTATGGTTTTTCAGAAAAATGATTCGACAGGTGCTGCAATCTCTCAACAATTGGTGTGATCCCTGTTCTATTGTATAACTCTTCATTGGAGGGGTGGTGTAGTGGATTTCTTGGGTGCCGCAACTTTGTGATTGCTCGGAGAGCTTTTCTTTCAGCCATTTCCAAATTCTGTAGAGCTGGTCTTCTAATGTTTTGGTAAAGTAAGTGGCCGTATTCAATTAATGGTCTACAAATACAGGTATAAATATGAGCTGCAGTTTGGATAGTGATTCCCTTGTTTTTGTATGTGAGTGAACGAAAATGTTTGGCTTTAGTGACTACTCTAATCTGGACATTTTTGGTTTGTTGGTTTAGTGACAATTTGGCATCCAATGAGAAACCCAAATATTTTACAGATGGCTGTGCTTGAATTTGATGAGTTGAGATGGTTATTTTTGGGCTATTTTCATTTAATTTGTGGTTGAATATGATAAATTGTGTTTTTTCTGGATTAAGTAGAATTCTCCATGTTTGCAACCATTTCATTATCAGATTTACAAGTGATTGTAATTTTTCCATCACACCAGAAAGAGTTGTAGAATGTGCTACTCCTCCAGTGTCGTCTGCAAACTGCAGAACATATGCGTTTTCGACCCCCAGTGCATTTGAATTGAATATGTCGTAGCAGAATACATTGTATAATAGTGGAGATAGTGGTGAGCCTTGAGGTACGCCTTGTGATGGATAGAATATTTCTGAGCATATTGAGTTTATCTGGATGAATAGCTCTCGGTTTTCTAGGAAGTTCTTAATTAGACAGATCAGATGTTTGGGTACTTTGAGAATAAACAATTTGTATAAAAGACCTTTGAACCAGACACTGTCAAAGGCTTTTTGGATATCTAGGAAAACTGCTGCCGATTTCTTGTTTTCATGTTTCATTGTTTGTATATTGGACATCAAAATTGTCAGAGGATGGAGGGTGGATCTTTTTGTTTGGAAACCAAATTGATGTTTTGGAATGCTTTCGCTCACATAGAAGTCCAGAACCTTCCGTACAACCTTTTCAAAAAGCTTCCCAATCGCTGGTAGCAAGGTTATTGGTCGATAATTACTTAGTTTTGTTCTGTCTGGATTACCTTTAGGAATTACTGTTATTTTGCCTTTTTTCCACACTGTTGGAAAATGATTATTGCTCATGTGTTTGTGTATAGTTAAATCTAGCTTTTTGATAATATTCCAGGGTATAGAATCATGACCAGGTGAGGTATTTTTCTGTTTAGTTAAGATATTAAAGTAGTCTTCTTGATTGACAGCATAGTTTTCATAAGAGTTTTCTGTAAAGAATTCTTGATGAGTGCTTCTTGGTCTTTGTTGAACTCCTGATGTGTCTTGTACTCGAAAACCTTTTCAAAGTGACGCTTGAACACACCTGCTTTTTCTTGATCTGTGTTGAATGACTCTCCGTTATCATCGATAGTGGGTATGTTGAAGGATGGCTTGTATTTGGACAATTTTTTGATTTTCTGGAAATAGTTTTTTCCTTTTAGTTCGTTAACTTCATCGCAAACTTCAATCCATTTACTT